CAGCACTATAAAACAAAAACAAAACAAACCACAATTACATGGATCATGACAGAAAGGATCCAGGCTGAAGCAAAAGTACCACACCCTATTAAACAATAACAGAATTCCAAGAAAGAAAGCAGTGCATGAACACGTCTGCATTAACATCTTCACTCATGACTCACTGTACATACCAGAGACAAAATATAAACAAAACTAAATTGTAAGCATAATTCATTAATTCCAGAGCTCTATATCTTTCAAAACACAATGCTCTACATCTATCACCTATCTACAATTATATCAGCCTCTTCAAAATGTCGCAATAAATATCGTACTGTGAGTTGCATATCGTTAAAATATTGTACTGTGAGATTTGGATATCGTTATATCCCTATTAAACATGTGTGTGAATGAAACTCTTACGACCCCAAAACACAACTCCAGGTATGTTTTGATGAGGAAACAACATTATAATATAGATCAGAAAATATCTTAACATAGGCTCTTTAAATAGTCCACCTTCACAACTGGTAAGATGGAAGTAGTTAAAGATGTTTTAGACTGTACAAACTTGGTACTTGTGACCAGTGTTGGGAGTGACAAGTTATAAAAGTAAAGAGTTACTGTAATGTGTTGCTTTTTGCTGTAAAGCAGTAATGTAAGGCATTACAGGGGAAAAATGGTAATATTTTACTCAATACAAATGTGAGTAACAAGCATCACAATGTTTTTTTAACCTGGATTGAAGTGGTGGATTTTTAGTTTTTCTTCATACAAATTCACTAAAATCACCACGATACCAGCAGCGGTGAAATGCCGTCGTTACGGTTCAGAGGTGCGCCAGCATAGACCGTCGGGTGACTGGGGGAAATGACTGACTCAGAACTCCACGCTCCACGACAGCTGGCATCCGATCACGCTAGTCCTAGTCCAAGATTAGTCCTGGTTTAGACCTGGTTCAGTTCTGTTTTAGATGTGGTTTAGTCATGGTTTAGACCTGGTTTAGACCTGGTTCAGTTCTGGTTTAGACCTGGTTAAGTCCTGGTTAAGTCCTGGTTTAGTCCTGGTTCAGTCCTGGTTTAGTCCTGGCTCAGTCCATATACGGCGCAAAAGTTCGGCATCTTCGCTCTCTGATTGTTATGTGACGATCAGCGACAGTTATTTTGGTGAGAGTAGCTCACCAAAATAATGCAGTAGTTGTGTAATGTCTTACATTTTAAACACAGTAATATTGTCATGTAATGAATTACTTTGAAATGACAGTAACAAGTCATAAATAACACATGACAGTTTTAAAGTAACTTGCCTAACAGTGGATGCGAGTAGATATAGTAGTAGAAAGTAGAAGTTATTGCACAGTTAGTCATGGTCTCTGTAGCAGCAACTGCAAGGAAAGCCATAAAATAGTAGTTTTTAAACTTTCCACACCAAGTACCACCAGATCTGAACTATATCATTAATAGTCTGTAAACAAAATGAATCCTCAAACTGCACAGGCACCCGCATACCAACAGAGGCATAAGTCTGAAGACTGCATTAACACATTCCTAAAAGAGTAAAAAATATCTTTAAAATATGGGTGCACATTCAAAACAGTGTAGAGAGTGTAAGACTACAGAAAATTATTGGCGGAGATCGACTCTATGTGTTTTTTCATGGCTGATGCAGATCCAGATTGTACAGAATCCAGAGGAATAACGGCCGATTTTGGTCATTTTCTCCAAATTATCTAATTACAATTCAGTACGCATTGATCTACAGCCTGGTTTTATTACAAACTGTGTTGAGTGTAGTGTAGTCACATTTTTGCAGTACCCTCTTTAGACTTTAGTGTTCAAATAAAACTTATACGCATATATTTTTCATGCATATTCAGGCAGCTGGTTGGGCCAAACAAAATATCGACCACTTTTGGAGATTTAAGGCCGATAACCTCTAAAAATGCTAAAAAGTGCAATTATCAGTCTATCTCTAATTACACTCATGGTACACATGGAGAGAGATATCTGTTCAGTCCAGTGTGTGTGCATCCAGAGGGAGGTTTGAGAAGAATGCAGAACAGTGAGCTTCATTAACACAGTGCATACTAAGTGCCAATATTTCAATTAACAAAGCAGGGAGAAAAGGGCACAGTGGTTTGTAGCACTGAGCCAAGCACAGAGCTTTGGGTTCAGATGTGACATTTCAGGATATAGCGATAGTCCTGCTGACAGTTTTGTAAATTTGCATGATAAGTGTACTAATTATTGATTTTAGTGTTGGTTAATTTATTGCACATGTCAGTATATAGAATAATAATCATAACTGGCTATAAGAAGTGGACCAAATACATATCATTTATATACATTATTATTTAAATGAGCCTTGGGTAAGTTTTCTGGGAGAGGGTTTATACGAGGGGTCATCAAACTAAGGCCCGCGGGCTGACTCCGGCCCCCCAGCCCCTTTGCCCCCACCACTTGAACTGGCCCTATGAGGCAATCCTCAAAAGTTATCATGGCCTATTTTTAAAATAATTTTTTGGGAAATAATAACATGTCTGCATCTTGTATTTTGTTGATTTTTTCAACTAAAAATTATATTTATATGAAGTATTTATATTTAACTATCTATATGACGTATTTACATTTGCCGCCAATTTTCGTCACAAGACAAACTCGAGATCATACAGTGACAGTCAACGCATGCACAGAGTAATGTAGTGCAGAGTACTGTAATGCAGAGTTCTGTAGTGCAGTTCAAGACAGCAAAAGGGCGAGTAATAGGAAAAGTTCACAGAGAGTGCAGAGTTTTCAAAGGACGAGCGATAATTTTTTTGTTCAGTGTAAGGAGTGTGCAGTTTGTCTGATATGTAAAGAAAGTGTGCCGGTTTTCAAAGAATATAATCTGCATCGTCAGGGTCAAACAATTCTGTTATACAGCCGACCCGACCCTGACCCCCATCACAGTCAAGAGCCATAATGTGACTCCCAGAGAAAAAAGTTTGGCGACCCCTGGTTTAAACTGTGGAACATTCCAGGAAAAGCAATACCATCTCCATGGAGAGCAGATTTTCCAAAAAAAACATAACAACTCTTGTGGACTTTTAGCCAAATTAGAACATTACTAGTTCATCAAAAACATACATAAAGTTGTGTTTTATTACATGCGCAGTCTGTTCCATCGTGTGATGTAGTGGTACTTTTCAAGTTAACAACTTTTACTGTTAGTTCTGTAGAGACTGGCAATGACATCACAAGGTGAAACAGAGTGTAATCTATTTGAGAGAAGAAGTCAGCCTAAATATGAAGGATTTGTGTGTTAACCATGTGTGAATGAAACAAAACACAACTCTGAGTATATTTTTGATGGGGAAACATTATGACATAGACCAGAAAATAGCATAATACAGGCACTTTAAAGAGTCCAACCTTCACATGAAAAGATGAAAAGATTATAGTGGTTATAGATGAAGTATTCTATAAATAATACTATTATGGAACACAACACAGTAGTAAATTATAATTGTAGTATAATTTAATATGATGACACCTCTAACCTCTAACCAAATGCTACATGAAAAACAACTGCAATCTGAGTTTACTTGTGTGTCTCAAGTTCCCTGGTGTGTTCTCCCGTTATATTTTCCAACCTGTTGTATTTGAGACCGGATCAATACGTTAAACCCAACGAAGCATGCACTGCTGTCATACTGAGCACCATTTTCCTCTGTTCTGCTCCTCTATGAGTCTCCTAGGTCTCTCTACAGTAACTCTTATTAAATAAACGTCTAGGCTTTGTATGTAATCCACCCTTCCTGTCAGACATAGCCCACAAGTAGGCTAACTAGCGCTTCATTTATTTAATCTGGGTTAACAAATCCTCTTATTGATCCTTGCTCTTCTGGGAGAGAGAGAGATCGTACTGAGTGGACTCCAGGGAAAAGTGTCAGCTATATCTAGGTCTATAGAATGGAGATGATAGTATTAAGGTTTGCAAATTGTCCCAGTTTATATTGTCAAAGTTATAGCCACAACATGATGCTCTTGATTACAGTTTATGGCAGCGCTGGTCTCATCCACATTGATAGTGCAAGTATTAATATTGCACAGCAGAATGAGACTGTGGAAGCGCAGATGTTTTATGGGTTTTCAGATTGGTTGAACTTCGCTCTTCACCTCAACACTCTTGATATTGTTTGAATATATTGTTGTATCTTACAAAGGACCAAATGGAACACAACAATGATTAGCACTTATGTATTGAAATAGGCTAGCAGCTCCCTCCAGTGTGAAGCATGAGACACAGTTCTGATCTGGTGTTAACAGTACTCGATACTACTACCAGTATAGAAGTGCTAAACCCTAAAACCTAATTAATGAATATGGTGATGGCGTGGTTATAACTACATAGTAACATTTGTACTGAAAATGTGTTCTCTGGGTGTGTTTTCATTTTCCTCACTTCATCTATTAGTTGAAAAGACCAGCGTAGTGAATGACTAATGACTAGAGCGCTGTACTTAAATCAACTGTATTGATTGTTGTCCCAAACTGCATTTAATAAAGTTGCATTTAGTTGGATGAGATTTGGTCAAATCAATGACAAGTCTAATCTCTGCTAAGTGTCTGCTCAATAACCAAGGACAGCTCATTATATTATTCTCAGTCAGCCCAACCAGGCTTAGCAATGCAAAAGTATTTTGTAACTTTTTAGTAACGGTTCAAACCGTACATATCTTGCAGTAACTTTATCAGATAACATAACAGATTGATCTTTTCAACTTTGATATCATGTCTTACTGAATTGACAGTGCTCTAATTGTGTCTGAAAAAAAAAAGAATACTTATTCTTATTCGTCTTTTCTCTTCTCCTGAAGGGGCATATGGAGCAATTAACAATAAAGTAGCATGATTCCCCGTCACAATAACTGTGTCTGATTAACCTTCAAATACAGTGAGCTCTCAGATATGTTTCTACTATGACATAAGTCTTTTTGATTGTTGGGGTAAAGTGCAAAAAGCAAAACATACATGGTATCATATTTGCAAAACCAATGTTTTAATTATATTAACACTCAAATTAAAATTGTCATGAAAAGTCATAAAATGTGATTACGTGCAATAGTTTCAAGGCAAAAAGCATAAAACAGAGGTTTAACACTCTAATATATGCAGGCAAATTAGTATAATAAATTAAAAGGGTTTAATATGGGATTACAGCAAACTAACCCTGCTGTAACGAAAATATACATTTGTTTTTGCATTTCAGGATTCCCTGCCATTAAAAAACAAAACAATTTAACACAAATTTCTCTCTTGAGGAATAGAACATAGTCTAAATGTAATTCACTATTAATACCTCTTAGTGTTATGGAAGAATCATCTTCATCAGTCTCTGTGGGGTCCCTGTGGCTCCAGGTCCGGGTGAGTGACACATTTGGCATAAACAGATGTCTTGAATTCTTGTGGTTTTCTTCCAGATTGCATTCCGCAAAGTCTTTGCAGCAAATTAGTAAACATATGTACCAACAACAAATAAGACAAGGAAAAGAAAGAGGCACAGAGGGCAATTCTCAAACGACAAATTTGTTCTTGGTGGTGGAACCGCTCTTGGTGGCTGTATCGGCGTGAGACTGGTACCCAATGGTCATCTTCATGGGCAGCCCCAGACGCTCCTTGTAAACTCTCCTGTGAACATAAAAACAATAGTCAGAAAGGACCCAAAATATGGTATTTATTCAAATTCTATAGAACTAAATCTGGCTCTGATCCCATTGTCACATCAAAATAGTCATCATTGGTTCTTATCAACTTAGCTCAGTTCTTTATGCATGTCTCTGTATCATGTTCCTAAATGCCTAAAATATAGCTCCCACCCTAAGTGTCTTGATAAAAAAATGTGTTATTTACTACCTGGCAGTGGTCAAAATTACATAGTTGTTATTGTCACAATAAAATGTAACTTTTACTAAAATACAATGTTATTGTGAAAATAAAGGTATCAAAACAAATCTTCATTTTCCTTCACTGATATGGGATTGCATATTGGCTCATTCTTACCCTATATGTGTGACAGCATCCCGATTCTCAAAATCTGATGTCCACACGGCGATTTTATCTCCCTTTGTGCGAACATTCACCACAGCGCCGCAGACTTCGTCACTGTAGTCATCAAAGGCCTCTCCCACTAAACAGAGCAGCTGTGGAGAGATGAAATTAAAGTCGTGATTACTCTAGTTTGATTTGGCCGGGGAAAACATTTCACTATTTATTGCAGTTCCACAGCCCATCTTGAACCGGTGAACACGCACAGTTTCGAGCCAGAAGCGGTCCAGGTCTAATCTCCGCTGCTGTTTGGTGAGGGTGATGAGCCAGCGCCCCCCTCGCTTGTTCCTCTCGTCCTCCCACATGGGCTCAATGCCGTCCTGCAGCAAGAGTTCACAAGCTTATTACAAGGACTAGACAGACAGCTCCAATCGGACTGGCTTTTTTCATTACTGTTTACTTCCATAGTCTGATAAATATCCATCAGGACACTTGATTTAAAAGAGAGAGAATAAAGTGTCCAAAATAGATAACATTTTTGCCATTTTGTCATGAGCTTTTCAGCCTTTTTGAATATCTAGCCAGTTGCAATATTAAAGCTTTGGTGCTATAACTGCAAAGTGAAAGCTTGCATAACAACAAGGATTCAGGCATATAGGAATGACTATTTAGATGCATGGCTATAATATGATACCAACAGATATAATGAAACAGCATCTGCATTGTAGAAAAAAAAAAATCACGCCCACTCTTCCACTACTACTTTCATTGTAATTCTGATGAATCTCTATAAAGATAGGAAGTAATATCAAGAAAATAAATCGGCAGCTTCTGAGTTGAATGCAAACAAAGTCTGTATCAACCTATAAGAAATACAAACTAAATACAGACTAGTGCCATGGTGTTATAAACTCCATAAACAAACCTTAAAGAGAGAGTAATCGCAGCCTGACATCAGGTTGCTTGACAGCTGAATGTGGTTGTAGAGGCTGCAAAAAAAGTCATGTTTCAATTATTCTGCAGATCTCACAATATTTCATAAAGACGGTAAAGTCATGACATTTTATAGCGCATGTAACTTCTGCAAAGTACTGAAAGAACTATAGATTTATTTCTCCTTACGCCCAGAAATCTTCCACGGTGTCAAATTTGGAGATGAGTCGGAGGTTGGCTTGCCATGTTTTGCTTTTGTCATTCTTGAAGAACCAGAGAGACCATCTGTTGGGCAAAACAGTATTATGAATTTGCATAAATGTAACAGGCTCTTAATTAAAACATGGGATAAACAACAGTGATGCAAAAGCCATGAGCTCTGGAGCAAATCAGAGATGTATGGAAGCACCTGCTGAATTGCACTGCATAAAGCCATCACTCCTAAGGTCCAATTAACTGTGACACCACAACAAAAGCTCGCAGTCACAGCTAAATATTAGACTGCTCTGCAACAGGCTATGTTCATCACGAGGATATTAGTATTATAACAATGTCTCTTTTCATAAATACAAGCTTTCAATAGATGCCTTTATAAAAAAGCTTATTGGCTCATAATGACTCTTTGCTAATTTATATAATAATCATTTAGAAAAACAGGACTTATTAGGAGCCGCAAATGAATAGAACATTGTGTAAAAGTAAGTTTTGGTAAAAATTAGTGTAAATATATTTAGGACAAAACAATGTTGAGCAGTTTGAACTTTTTATTTTTGAAAGTGTTAATATCATAATGCTTTTTAATGACTGGAAATGTGGAGAAAACATTTTGAGTTATGCTGTATAATGAAGTAAATGTGTTATTTTTTACACAGTGTGAAATTGTACTTGCCATCCATGTCTTAATTAATATGTTAAAATATTTTACTTTACTTTTGCTGAATTTTCTTCTTGTTTGACACATTTTAAGTGCAGCAACCCACAGAGTTGAACAATCAATTTTCCAAATGGCTCAGCATTCAGCGAACAAGGGAATTCATTGTTTTTGTGAAAGATTGATTCATGTCTTGCTTTCTGTTTTAGGCACCCTCTGTGCACTTGTATAAAGGAAGGGTTATTTTAGCCTCGATCTGTGCAGACATCAAACAAATATGTGATGTATATGTCACCCAGTGTTTCTTTGATGCTGCAGAAGCATGCATTTTTAAACTTTCATGGATTCTTGCTAGGCATGTGGAAAAAGCTTGAAAAAAGATGGTAGATGTGATTCTGTGGTTTCAGTATTTCTTCTTGTCTATATTAAACCCATGAACACAAATTCTTAAAGAAATTAACAAGTAACATTAATAATCAAAAATTATGTCTAATTACCACATAACATACAGATTGCTTTGTCTTACTGGTGAAAAATGGCAAATACATGGTATTTGCTGAAATTACATGTTGTGACAAATTCTTGGTAAATGTTGGTTTAAGTGTAACATGTGTCATATGTACATGTTTATGCTGTTAAAAAGGTAAAAAGCTAATCTTAAGTTAGTTAACTAATAATAAACACATGTTAACATAACACTTCACAACAGTGTTTTGAACTGTGATAATGTTGTAGTAATACTGATGTAGTGAGGTCTAATATTTGTGTGTGTACGTGTATTGATTGTGAGGGTTAATTTTGCGCCGCTATTCTTAAGTGATCAATACTGAACAGCCACAACACCTTGACAATGCCTGATCTCGAAAGCTAAGCAGGGTTGAGCCTGGTTAGAACTTGAATGGAGACTACGGGTAATAACAAGTATCGTAGTGGGACAGCAGTGGCTCTAGTGCATATCCTACTATAGCCGTTGTGTCCTTGGGAGAGACAGTTCCAGTGTTAAAGTAAACTGGCATAATTAATGAGAGTGCATTTGTGAGAGCGAATGTGGGACCATGGATGGAAATAAATCCATGGCTACAATCCAGTGTTTTTCATGTAACGGGATATACGTTGAGATGTATGGTCGACAACTGATAAAATAAATAATAACAATATATATATTTTAACCCAAATAATAACTTAAGTTTGAAATTTGGACTACTTAATATTCAACATCCATTCCAGACTTATTTCTCTGGCACATTTTTCTATAGCGGTTGATCCAATGAGTTTTGAAAGGAATATAATTGCATTTTATATGCACCAAAATTTAAACGTCACAATGGATATCTCACTGTGCCTTCATGTTTGACATGTCTTTCAACACACAGGCTCTGAAATGTGAATAATACATGTGACATTAGGCCATGAGGAGAATGAGCTGATACAGACCTGTTCTGGAGGGGGTGCTTCAGGTAGGCCTCTGGGCTCACCATCTCCTGTCCACTCTCCTCAGCTCCATCTTCATCATGCTGGAGCGGACTTGGGTTGTTTTCCTGAGGGATAGATTACGAAAAGCAAAGATAAAGAATAATATAAATACCATAATTATACAACATTGAAATAACAAGGTGGACAAAACGTTGGATAAACAAAATACTTAAAAAGGCAATTATTGGGGTATTTGTTGTTGTTTTAATATAATTCCTTTATAACCCATGAATTTGTTTCTCCAGGTAAGCAGTTAATGTAGCAAAATTTATTACAATTAAAAAAAAAAAAAAGTTAAGTATTCCAAATAAATAGGACAAAATTTAATCTTGAGAGCTCAAATTTGAACATTTTGTTGATTCTAAATTTTCAAACACATCGGAACTATACTGTTTTAATAATTTGGTACATTACTAAATACGTGTGTGTATTTATGTAATGTAACTACCCATTCAATGACATTGTTAATCACAACATTAACTCTTTTATATTAGTATTTGGATTGCCGAAAGTTCGTAAATGCGTAAAGAGAGCCCCTGATGGCCTCTGAGTGTCCCACCAGCTTCGGTAGTGGTCATGTCATTGTTAATTTTATTAGGTGTAAATTAATGTGTAGCTAAACAACGTGGTGAACACAAGTTGCTATTTGAGACTGAAAAAGTTGTGAAAACCTCTGATGGATTAAGCACTTTATATGACATAAGTAAGACGTGAACAGTGAGTCGGTCAGCCCAAACAACGTCAGCCTTAAAGTTGGAAGATCTCTACACACAGGCATTCCTCTTTTACGCATTGGCCGTGTGGCACCAGAAGCTACCCTTAAAACAAGCCTTAACAACCATCAAGCAAAGATCAACAATTTATTTCATTTATTATACTTGTGCTTGAAGCTGACCGTGCACTTTTTGAATGGTATTACGCCCAATTACACAGGCACAAGGGCGACAAATGTTTGGATGTGTTCTTCAGAGAAAGTACTCACCGGTTCGGCGGTCGCCATCTTACAAATCTGTGTTTAGAAAGCTCACGCTGATTGGATGGTACTGCACCACGTGACCTGACCGCTCTGAGGACATGCGCAGTGTGGTCCCACTCTCACACGGAGGCATGGCGAGCACCGAAGCTAGAAGGGAGTGTGAGACTGAGGGCTGCAGCAAGGACGCAAAACTCCAGTGTCCCACATGTATTAAGCTCGGGATTCAAGGATCATACTTTTGTTCACAGGTACGGGATTTTGTTCAAGGTAATGGGTGAAATTCGGAGCTCAAAACTCTCATTTCGGCCTTGTCGCCCATCACGAGGGTGCTAAAGCTAACTGTCAAGCTACATTAGACATGTGTGAACTTGGCAAATGCTCTAATTAATTGTCGCTAATATCACAATTTATTGCAAAGTCAAGTGTTGCCGAGTCACACTGTATATATTTGCATGCACCGATCATTTTGTTTTACTGTGGATTTGGCTAAACCTGAACGATTCTCGTCTTGCTAAGTCTGTTTATATTGGCTTTATTACATCCAATAACTGTAAACCTAGCCAAATAATCCTAACTTAAAACCACATGACGCAACTGCACTGTGCATTCACCAGAATATGTTTGGAAATATTTAAATAATAATAATAATAATAGATGGTATGAAGTTGTGAACGACTCTTAACCTTTTATCGCTTCATGCGTTTATTGCAAAACTGCACCTTAAAGTAATGAGCTCGATCTGCTCTTAACTACTGAAAAAGTCCTGTCGGCAAATCCAGTGCATAAGTAATGACATCTGTTAAAGATCTGCTGTCACAGCAGTTTTGCCCGTGCAACTTGACTCTGCTTGTTTTAACTCCAGCTTTTGGTGTGTAATGCTTTAAATGAATAATTATAGTTTGTAAAACCTGTCATCCTCCTGAGTATTGATATCAACAACATTACTATGTACATTTACCCACTGTTGTTTTTTTACATGTAGTTTAATATTTATTTATTTTTATTTTAAGGAATGTTTCAAAGGGAGCTGGGCTTCTCACAAGTTGCTGCACAAAAAAGCAAGTATGTGTCATGTTACTCTTTTATTGTTAAAACTATAGTACAAAAAAATAAAGACTGTATAAGTAACCCTCCGGTACTTACATTTTGTACTAAAAGTTTCTTATTAACAGTGGATACATTTATTCAGTGCCTGTTTTTGTGCTGTCCTTTAGAAAGAGCAAAGTCAAACACATGTGTCAAATTTTTGAAAAGGTCTTTGCCTTTGTGCTTATAGAAGAAGAACAGAACCAGAATGAAACTAAAAACTGTGTGGAGAAAGAGACAAACACAGATCCATGGCCGGGCTACCGTTACACAGGAAAATTACGTCCTTACTACCCATTGGTAAGCGCTGGCACCCTTTTATAATGTTTAGTATTAAAAAGCCTTGACTGCATTGTCTAATATTAATTTACACTACATTTAATAAAATATGCAATGTTTTTCTTGAATGTGCATGACAACACAACAATATTGTAACTAATCTGAGCTGTTCTTAATATAGTGATGATAAGACTAACCCTTAAAAAGCAAAAGACTAAAATTAAGCCCTTTAGACTTTATTCAAGTTATGCTTTCTACAAGAAGATACAAACATTGTGTAATTAATAGCATTGCTTTAATTTGTTACCACCAAGTTACCACCATGTTATTAGTTTTCTTAAATGTTTTTTTTCTGGTGTAATTATTATAGACTCCCATGAGGCCTGTACCTGGCAACATCCAAAAACCTGACTATGCTGACCATCCCAGAGGTAACATATGGCTTTATACCAATATTGAATCGTTACTCTTGTGTTGTGTTACTGCCAGTGGTCCCATGAGCAGTAACATAAAAATCAAAGCAAAAACTACACTTTTATTGCTACATACTGTAGCAATAGGCTGTTCACAAGGGTGTTTGTACTGTAAAGTGCTGACATAAAAAGACAAACACATTTCTGAATATTTTTACAGAGAAAAGTTTTTCATTTAGTTACATTAAATACAGGGTATTACACTGGGGTATAATTGTTAACACATAATATTTAGATCACCATGTTACATTTTTATTGTTGTTGTAATGTCTCAAAAATAGTCTCAAACAATGTATTAAAATATTTCATTTCAGTTTCATCAATTTTGCATAACACTTCCTCTTGAAGTTTAGTTTAATAGTTTATAGTTTAAGGGTTTAGTTTTAATACTGGAATCATATAAGTAATTTTAGTTTTATTTTTGTTGTTATTTTTAATTTTTAGATTTTTTTCTCCCAAGATTTGGTAGAGCTTTTTTGTGTATTTGAAAATGATCTCGTTTCGCTCAACCAACTATGGTATTGTCTTAATGTGACCTTGGCTTTTGTGAACCCTTATAACTATACAACTGTAAGACAGAGCGTTGGTAGAGAATGGGTGTGATTCATAATGCACTTTACCACACAAACTTGACAAGTGCCCAACTAGGACTTTATAAAATAACACATCACTCAATTTATCCAGATTGTTGCCCTTAATTAAATTTTAGACTAAATGACTAAAGAGATGTGTCCGCCACATGACTTGGGGTAATCACCAGACAGCTGTGATTGTAACTTCGCTTGTTTAGATCAGTGTCTCAGGGCTAGTCATTCCCTGTGCTGCCATGGCAACCTCTGTCTCCCTGTCATGTGACCGTGCATAGATCCATGCTCAGGTAGTCATGGTTACTGTCTCTTTTGGTTCAGGGACTAAAGCGCTGTTTATTGTGGGCAGCAGTGTCTTTAAACACCTCTCACACAGAGCCTCGGTGTACCCTACGATTGGATAATGCAAGTTATGAATGATTATTTCATTTGGATGTGTGGGCTTCTGTAATAACGCGCGAGTGAATTTGATCAATGGATGCGTTTCTGCTACAAGGGTGGGTCAAAGGGCTCTATCTGGCAGGTCTTGCAAACCTGTCTTTGTTGCTAGGTAACTGTCAATGTTCATGTTCGTGATCATACAGTGGTATTAATAAATTACCCGTAGGTTATTGAATTCAGTTGCATAGCTAACACACTTAAATTCTGACTTGCTTTGTATAATACACAGGTTCAGTGCAGTCAATCAATAAAAAAATCCATATTTATACAGCACATCTGAATTCATACTGTGTTTTCTCAATAACAGTCGTACCTGATACAGAGTCCATGTTGTGAGTCACTCCTCCTGATCCCAGTACCTATAGTGCTTCTACTGTATACATATGCAAAGCTTGAATAACAGCTTGCGTAGAATAAGAAATTGCCTTTTAGAATATGCTGTGTGCTTGGTGCCTAGTTGTGCATTTTAACATTTAAAGTTGGCCTCTAGTTCCACCTTCAGTTTCATAATTTCATATTGTGTGTATGAATGGGATTTAATACAGTTGTCTGTATTGAAGTTGGCAGGACTCAGTTGCTACTGCAGGTAAATGAATGAGAACTTTGTGATGGCTTCTATAAGACTAAAACAGAAGAGCTAATGCCATACTTTTAGATATCTAAACTATTTTCTTATCCCCAACCACAGGGGTGTCTGAGTCAGAGCAGTTCCTCAAGGGAACATCACAAATCAAGATCCTTTCTGCAGAGGACATTGAAGCCATGAGAGTGGTGTCAAAGGTACAAATGCCGTATACGACTACATAGTAATGTAAAACTTGACTTTTGTGTAATAAAAATGTTGTATTTTTGCAGTTGGCCCGAGAAGTTCTAGACATTGCAGCCATGATGGTGAAGCCGGGTGTTACAACAGAAGAAATTGACCACACAGTGCATCTGGTATGAGGACAGTGACACATAATGAGCATTTGTTACTGTTTTATGTAATCACACATTTTTATGTTCGCTTATGAAATCCCTCAAATTGTTTGGATTATTAATAGAGAACTGGCATCTTTTTCTATTTAACTGAAGCAATGTTTTACTTGTAAACGGGACCCCTTGTGTCAGTACAGTACAAAGCCCCCCTGCTAACTTATCTTGCATTTCATCTCGGCAGGCTTGTATAGCGAGGAATTGCTACCCCTCCCCTCTTAATTATTACAACTTCCCCAAATCCTGCTGCACGTCAGTCAATGAAGTAATTTGCCATGGGATCCCAGACAGAAGACAACTACAAGAAGGAGATATCCTCAATGGTAATTTATGTGTTGTATGTGTAACAATATCAATAAGTATGATACAGTGTGAACATTTTGAAGTTTCATTACTATTACGTTCAGGTTTATTCTGTGGTAGGTTTTGTTCCCAATTTTGTGTTGCAAATGCAGAGACATATCTCTACTTTTGATTAATTGAATTTGTCAGAATAATGTATTGTAATATTGCTGTAGAAACAGTAGTTTTTGCATGTTTTTATCATGCAGCAGCCTTATAGTCTCTATGACAAATCCTTCTCTTTGCATACTGAAACGGTACCAGCAGGAGTTCATCTATTTTGTCCTGCTCGTGAATATTTCTGCTTAGGCGATGTTTTCCGCCAGCCACTCCCCCCAGAGTGTCTGATGGAAGACTTGCCAGCAACTCATCTCTTGCTGCGTGGTTCGACAAGACAAATACTTTCATTAACCTTTAGCGGTGAGGCAGTCCTAGTCACATCCTCCTCCTGTCTATATTTCTCTTTTAAGTGTTCCAAGTCCCATTTTGCTAATATTATTCCAGATTTTATCAGCAATTTTTCAAGTATATTTTTGCCTCGACCTGACTATGTGTGGATTTTTTTTTTTTTCCAACTAGTAATCCAATAGGTGCTAGTGGGTACAGATGATGCACACAGGGTTGACACAAAGTCTGTGACATAATTCTGTTCTCAATATTGTGCAGTGGATATCACAGTCTACCACAACGGTTTCCATGGTGACCTCAATGAGACCTTCTACGTGGGTGAGGTGGATGAAGGGGCAAAGAAGCTGGTTCAGACCACCTATGAATGCCTTATGCAAGCCATTGACTCTGGTAGGAACTACATTCACAAATTCATTTAAATACTACATCAGTATGCATAAATTACATTCAAGGTTATAGCATTGTTTAGAGCTAGACTGATGTGAAAAGAATTATACTTTTTCTGTTATTTAGTGAGAAAATATCACACGCACAAGTAGAGACGCACTTTCTTTTACATTTTGTTCATTATAAATTGTAAGATTGATCTAAAAATGGGTTCATATTAGAAATGGGTCCAGAGTGAATGATGAAGAGAAACAATTATAACATGGTTAGAAGCTCTTAAAGTCAATTTTGCGTTATATGTCTTTAGAGTATTACATTCCGTTCATTTGATTTCCTTTTAATTTAATTTAGTAAAGCCTGGGATCCGCTACAGAGAGCTGGGTAACATCATTCAGAAGCACGCTCAGGCCAATGGCTTCTCTGTGGTGCGCAGCTACTGTGGCCATGGGATCCACAGATTGTTCCACACAGCTCCCAATGTCCCACACTATGCCAGTAAGTCACATGTCACTTAATTAGATTCAGAGGCTGCTGCTGCTACATGTCTGTAACCTGGTTTTGCTTTGTGTTTGAAGAAAATAAAGCAGTTGGGGTGATGAAACCAGGACACGTGTTCACCATTGAGCCTATGATTTGTGAAGGTGAGTTGTTGCAATGGACAAACTAGATTATTTCTGGCCAGGCTTCGGGTACATTTATAGTTCACCCACTGGTTTAAAAATGGCAATGCAACCACAACTGAACCAGGAATAGGCGTCCATACTGAAGATGCATCATGTCATTGAGGGAACTCTTGGGGCTAATGCAGTGTTTCCAAAGGGAACGTTTCCAATGTTGCAATAGCAATTTACAATTCAGAACTAAATATTTGTATCTTTTGAACTGACAGAACTCAAAACATTGTCTATAAACATTAAGTTGAAACCACAAGCCCAAGTATTGTATTGGATGAAAAAAGTAACAATGACAGTATCCTTTAAAATAGGGTTATCTGTTACCTCTTCTATGTCTCGTCAATCATCATATCATCAGGAATTTGAACTCACTGCAGCACTTCGAATCACTACTAAAAACTCCCCTGTTCAGTTTGGCATTCCCACATCATTCCCAGTTTTCTACACTGACACTTTTTATTTGTTTGTAAAGTGTCTTTGAGTGTCCAAAAAAGTGCTGTGTAAGTCCGATGTGGCGGCGGTGGTGGTGTTGTTATTACTGTTACTGTTGTTACTAATACTGCTACTACTAATACAACTACTAATACAACTACTAATACAACTACTAATACAACTACTAATACAACTACTAATACTACAACTACTAATATTACTACTAAGACAACTAACACTAATATTACTACTAAGACAACTACTACTACTACTACTACTACTACTACTACTACTACTACTACTACTACTACTACTACTACTACTACTACTACTACTACAATTTCTAATACAACTACTAATACTAATACTAATAATACAACTACTACTACTACTACTACAGCTACTACTAATACTACAATTACAAATACAACTACTACTAATACAACTACTACTTCTACTAATACAACTACTACTTCTACTACTACTACTACTACTTTTAGAACTACTAATACTACAACTACTAATACAACAACTACTACTACAACTTCTAATATTACTACTACTATTACTAATACTACTACTAATACAAATACTAATATCATCTTTGCACTGTTTCTTCCTTATGACCTTATATATAGCTGTATACATTTTTATTTCTTTATTTCTATTCACTTGTACATATACATTTATAATTATGTCTTATTTGACACCAGCTATTTTTGCAACTTATTTAGAATTTATTATTTACCATTTATATTTTTTTCTCTTTGTTATTATAATAGTATTGTGATGTGTGAGCTACTGTGTCCAAGTAATTCCCCTTGTGAATCAATAAAGTTTAAGTCTAAGTGTAACTCTAAGGTTGGTTTGAACTTGAGTGATAATTGGGTAAGTGGGACCTTGATCTCTTTAGCGCCTCACCCTTCACAGGCTCTTTCCATGTGACTAATTGATGCGTGGTGAGTCTAAACTGTTTGGGTGTCATCTCAGGTGGCTGGCAAGACGAGACGTGGCCCGACGGGTGGACGGCGGTGACCCGGGACGGCAAGCGCTCGGCCCAGTTCGAACACACCCTACTGGTGACGGACACGGGCTGCGAGATCCTCACGCGTCGCCTTGAAGACAACGGCCGCGCCCACTTCCTTGGCCAAATGTAACACACACAGTACACCCCGGATGGACTCGATGGACAAATACCCCAGAACTCGCAGTATATGACTCCTGAAGCTCAGTGTAGCGAGCTTCTGTCTGTTCAATATATCATGGTTCCTCAAGTTTAATGGAAGTACTTGAAAGTGTCTTTTAGTAAACGTGGATTGCTATATTAGTGAGAACTGTATCCTCTTGACAGAAGTAAGAAAGTATTTATGTCATCAAGCTTGACATCTGAAACCGTTTGACCTTTGACCCCTCACGCTAAGATTGCCGCCAAGGGTTTTTTGAAGAGCTCAGGGCATGAATATATCATGCTACTTTTTTTTTTCTTCAGCTGTTGCCTATTTCACTTCAATACTGTACATGCACATAACAGAAATAATAAGGACAGTACTTTGTAAAATACTATGTTATGGATAGGCCTGTCACAATAACACATTTTGAAGGGTGATGTATTGTTACAGGAAATAAGATAAATGATGACTTTTTCCAATGATAAAATAAATAAAAAGCAGGTTAGTTCCAATAATTTATGTATTAATGAACAATGTAATTAAAAAGATAAGCTGCAATAAATAAAAGAATAAAACACCTTAAATTAATATCACTGAGTTGTAGATATAAATTGTCAGACCCTCTACAGCTCAAATGGTTAAGGAGCTGTATAAAAAATAAAATAAAAATTTCAGTTTCAGAAAAATAAATATTGAGGCCCTAAAACTATTATCCCAACTTCCATTAATTGAAGGATGAGCTGATATAGTAATTATGGTGACAGGTCAAACTGTGGGATATTATATATAAGGCACATTTAAAAACAAATTTCCTCGCCTTTATCGCCTTTAGTGTAATTTCAATGAAGTTGGTCCTAAATTGTCAAAGTAGAATGTGGCTATATCTAGTGTGCTGACCGCTAGTGCTTTGCTAAAACTTAAGAGAAAAGCTATAGATTGAAAAAAACAAAAAAATATGAAAAAGTTCATTTACAAAATGCAACATTACTTGAAGCAGTTCTCTCCCACATTTTAATTCATTGCTGTAGGTATACAGTCAACTACAACGTATTAGTAGTCATTTTTCATATTGCTGAACTCTCCAAGTCTGTCCAAGCATTTCACCGGCACCTCTTCACTACGGAGTCTTGTGTTTTTTCGATAGCCCTGGTGTGAAGCCTTAATAAATAAAAGCTCGTGTTAAAACCACACCAGATCTAAACCGGTAGATGTCACCTTGAAGCGGGGGTTTCCTGGTGTGGCATTCTTTTATGTTAGGAGGAATATTGTGATCACGGTTGCTCTGCCATCTTTGTATTTCCTCGAATTGAGTAATAAATGGCTCTTCTGTAGATCTGTGCTGGTGACTTTGTCCTTGACTACAACCTAAATCCCAGGTGTAAGTTAAAATCCAGTCTCTAATTACTGAAACGTTCCTGCTAGTGTTTCAGGGTCATTGTATTAGCGGACTAAGGGGACTTTGTAGTGGCAGAGCAGTTGTTTACCTGCAGAGAAGCCTGATTATGACTAAATATGGTTAAGTGCAAATCCATATTAACTTAAATTAACATTTTAGGATCAAATGGCATTCTGATTTAAACTCTGTTGGTGGTGACACAAATACCGTTTCCATCTTATCAAACATAAATCAGCAATAATACACTATTAGCTCATTTGTAATATTAAGATGCATAATTAGCAAACATGATTTCCCGTAGCAGAGGTATTGTTGTGGGGATCTGGTTTTATCCACTCTTAACCTGAAATCCCTTTGCTGTTGTGAGTGGTCTGAGGGCTCTGATTTGTTAATCTCGATAATAATGGGAGTAATTGAGATAATATGCAGCTGTTATAGTATTATACATTTTAATCTTCTTTATGTATTACATGATTATGGTGGTAGTTAAGAGACCGGTATTTATGAATAATATGGAAATTGATTCAGCAATTAGTTAATTTTATGAATCAAAGAATAATTTACATAATAAAGCATAGTAACTGATCAAATTAGCCAACTAATGTATGCTCATTCACTGTTTCTTATCCTGTTCCTTATTATTTAACTAATTAGTATAGATTGGATCATAGTTAAAGCAGCATGCGTGATTACTTTCCACAGTGTATTAGTAGTACACATGCAAGCATGTGAGTTACTTCTACTTGTGTAAATATTTCATTTAAAATTGCGGTGCGTTTGAGTCCTCTGTATTGAGTCCAGCTAAACATATCTTTCATGGTAAGCAAAAAGGACAGTCGTAAGGGCTTTTAAACTAGGCTAGACTTTCGCAGCACCGTCTCCGATCTTCTTACATTTCTTTTCAAACCCAAATCCCGACGGTTTGCTTATTTATGACTTCTTCCCAAAGTTCTTTTCTTATTATTCATTATTCACACTGGATCAAAGCGCATCCGAATATCTCTAAATCATCTTGTTGTGGTCTGGCTGTTTCTTCCTGTTACCGTCTAGAGAGAGAGACGTGGAATAAAAAGAAGTGCAATGCTCCAAAAAGAAGAAACGATTTGAGAGGGAATTGAATACATTATTTATTAAAATGAGTAAACTCTAGGCAACTGTGGCTCAGAACCGAAGGACAACTCGAATGCTGAAAAAAAATAAGATGCTATTACTTTGACATAAACGATATTTGAAGAAAACCTGGTCCCTCTTGAGAAAAATTATACAACAACTCTTCTACAAATTGTCCTCTGCAGAGGGCAGCATGATGCATCACAGAATTTTTTGACAGACAACAATCCATGGGGAGACTGGCAACTTGCACATATATTAACATAACAAACAAGTTTAGATTGAATGTCAAATTACAGGGCCTTACCATTTGCCAGCGTGCATAAGATCAAACCCCTCTGTAATCTTCTCGAAGGGCAGCGTGTCAGTGACAAATTCATCCACTTTGAGCTTCTTGTTCATGTAGTCGTCCACCAGTTTGGGAACGCTGTCCACGCTCTTGTATCCTGGAAAGTAAACAAAATGATTAATGCAGCTTAATGGTGCACTGTGTAACTTTTCTGAAGGGTCCGTCACCTGCTTGTTTAAAAGCATGCAGTCTTACTGTGAGTGGGCCTGCCTCTCCACAGATTTGACCCTGTAGCTTCACCTTGTGACATCACTTGCTTGTGTTTAATTGAGATTAATGGGCATAATGCCATACTGTGGAACACGCCAGGCAATGCAATTATGGAAGATAATTTGTTCCATTACATTTTGAATTATTCATACCACTGAATTTCTCACCTTGAATTTTTTAACTCTGATAAAAGATGTTATTATTTTTATTCTGAAATTTAGTTGCTGAAATTTTAAGTGTACATTTTCAATGTTTCAATATTCGAGGACTTGAAAATATTTGTGTTGGATATTTAAAAGGTGATTTGTTTTTTAAAATATTGAATTTTAAACACTTAAAATTCAGCAACTAAAATTCAGATTAAAAAAATTATTCAATAATTTCAGAGGTAAAAAATTTCAACAGTATTTAAAATTCAAAATCTGATGAAACAAATTATCTTTCATATATTCTGCACAAATGTTTTCAAGAGTGTAAAATTTGCATTGAAAAAAAAATTGCAGGAAAGATCCAAGATGCCAAGGCTAAAGCATTCAATCCAAAATTATCTGATCTAACTTAGTAACGAGCAGGAAATGGGGCAGTGAACCGATCTGATTGGTCAGAATTCGCCTCATCAAAACCTCATCTCTTTGATTTCCTAAGTATAAACCCCGCCCACAGATGAGAACAGCCAATGAGAAACCGCCTCTGTCCTCTTCACTCACACAGGATTGATGCTTCTGCTTTGGCATCATGGATCTTTGCTGCAGTTTTTTTTTTTTTTTTCACTTTGAATTTTGACTGTTCAATGAGGCTTGAAAATATATGTACTGAATAGTTAAAAGGTGAAATTTTGATTTTGATTTGAATCATATTGAAAAAAGTATACTAAAAATGTCTGCAACTAAAATTCAGAATAAATATAATCCAAATTTCTTTTTTCAGATTAAAAAAATTCCAAATCCCCCAAAATGGCACACTTTCTTTCTCCAAAGTGCAAACTCTGCTCCAAACCACATGCTTTTACAGACACGATTGACTGTAGACCTCTGTTAAAGACTGTGCACCTGATTTGTAGTTATCTCAGTACATATATATTGTACACAGAGCTCTTAACGTCAAAACAAGTCAGCTGTGCGAATTTATTATCCAATAATCAGGAAGTGCACATTAGCATACCAGTTATGAGCTTTACTGTGAGACGCTGGTCTTTGAGAGTTGTGAAAAACCCTGATAACCTCATCACAGTGAATAATTCCAAATAAGGATGTTGGGAATGCATAAGGTAAGTGAGACATAACTTTGGATCACTGCAAACCATGTAAAATGAACTAGTTCAGTTTTTCATGTTTTTAAATTGGGTACAGCACCAAAAAAAAAACAAAAAAACATTTTGACATGACTCGTCTGGTCTCGTTTCATATTCATTTAAATGTCCACTCCTAGTTAATAATAATTTTTATGAGGTAAACTATTATATAGAAGACTGTTACCTCCAAAGGCAGTTCCTTTCCATGTGCGCCCAGTCACCAATTGAAAGGGGCGTGTGGAGATCTCTTGTCCAGCCGCAGCCACTCCGATGATGACGCTCGTGCCCCAGCCCTTGTGACAGGCTTCTAGTGCTGCTCTCTAATACAGACAGATCACCACAACGCATTTTACTTAAAGAAGACATATCAGATATTTTTGTGCATTTAGTATTGAACTATAACAAACATAGATCATTATTTTATATTTTGTTCATTGCAAACCACATTATGATTTTAAATATTCATCAAAATATTATTAGAAAGAGGTTTATTGATTTCCTGTTCAAACCTGCAGAGTTGAGATACCTTGCCTTGTCCTATTTTTAACTATATGAAAAGCGTAATGTATGATTTTAACAGAGTAGTGGGTGTAAGTAGGGGATAGGTGAAATACAGGACAATGCAAGATTACTCAAAAATGAACTAATCGATCAGAATACAACTTTGAGTAAAGCTATGGTGAGGGTGCACTCTATGGTTCAAATAAAAGGTTAAGTTTCATCTATAACAGCTTAAGTAGTTCTGGCCTATCGTAAGAAGAGAATATGGACTAATTTCTTTTACTACTGCTTGAGAACAGAAAAAAATGAATCCATTAGCACAAATTAATCAACCAAAATGCCTACGTTAAACTATTAACAATTTAAACTGTGTACAATATCTGACCATTCAAATTGCAATCTTTTATACACAGCTTACCATAATGCCCACATTGCCCACACATTCAAAGGAGTAGTCCACCCCGCCATCTGTTATCTCCACCAACACCTCCTGGATGGCTTTATTGTGGTCTTTGGGATTCACTACATCAGTGGCACCAAATTCTTTAGCCACTTTAAACTTGTCGGAGTTGATGTCCACTCCAATGATCCTGGCTGCCCCTGCTGCCTTACAGCCCATTATAGCAGCAAGGCCCAGAGCTCCCAGGCCAAACACTGCACATGTAGACCCGGACTCCACCTACAGGGCAAACGATAGTATTTATTCTGCTTTATATTTATGGCTACTATTCAGGAATGTGCATGTACATTTGTTTTAGTTTAAAATCAGATGTGTTCTGTGAACCAGTACAGAGAAGTAAGGCAATTTTCCTTTGGTTTAAAGGTGTATTGTGCAACTTTTTCAGGTGGAAGGACCTGTTTGTCAAAGATATACATGTGTCTATATATATATATATATACATATATATATATATACTATATATATATATATATATATATATATATATATATATATATATATATATATATATATATATATATATATATATATATATATGTATATATATATATATATATATATATATATGTATATATATGTATATATGTATATGTGTGTATATATATATGTGTGTGTGTGTGTGTATATATATATATATATATATATATATATATATATATATATATATATATATATATATATATATATATATATATATATATAGCTCAGGGATTGTAAGCTGGCCAAAGGAGGAGATACAGACCACAGATGTTAAGACACGAAAGCTCCTGACCATGCATGGAGGGTTCCATCCCAAATCCAGCACCCTGAGACTGTACGCAGGCCGGAAGGAAGGGGGCCGAGGACTAGTGAGTGTGGGAACCACTGTCCAGGATGAAACATCCAAGCTCCTTGAGTACATCAAGGACAAGGCCCCGGCAGATGAGGTGCTCAGAGAATGTCTCAGACAGTGGGGTCCAGAGGAAGAGGTGCTGGAGGGACCATCATGGCAGGACAAACCCCTACATGGGGCGTACCACCGGAAGCATAACTGAAGTGGCTGATATCAAGAAATCCTACCAATGGCTTGAGAGGGCTGGTCTGAAGGACAGCACAGAGGCACTGATCCTGGCTGCTCAGGAGCAGGCCCTGGGCACTTGAGCAATAGAGGCCCAGATCTACCACACCAGACAAGACCCACGGTGTAGACTGTGCAAAGAGGCTCCTGAGACAGTCCAGCACATAACTGCAGGGTGTAAGATGCTGGGAGGGAAAGCATACATGGAGCGACATAACCAAGTGGCGGGCATAGTGTGCAGAGTACGGGCTGGAGACCCCAGGATCAAGGTGGGAAACACCTCCAAAGGTTGTGGAGAATGACCGAGCCAAGATCCTGTGGGACTTCCAGATACAGACTGACAGAATGGTGATGGCGAACCAACCAGACATAGTGGTGGTGGATAAGAAACAGAGCAGAGCCGTGGTGGTTGACATCGCAATACCAAGCGATGGTAATATCAGGAAAAAGGAACACGAGAAGCTAGAGAAATACCAGGGGCTCAAGGAAGAGCTGGAGAGAGCCTGGAAAGTAAAGGCATCAGTGGTGCCTGTGGTGATCGGAGCACTCGGGGCTGTAACCCCCAAACTGGAAGAGTGGCTTCAACAGATACCGGGAAAAACAACGGACATCTCAGTCCAGAAAAGTGCAGTACTGGGAACAGCAAAGATACTGCGCAGAACTCTCAAGCTCCCAGGCCTCTGGTAGAGGACCCGAGCTCAATGAGGGTGAGAGACCAACCACCGTGGAAGGTGAGAAACACATTTTTATTTTTATTTTTTTTATATATATATGTATATATGTATGTATGTGTGTATGTGTGTATGTATGTGTATGTATGTATGTGTGTGTGTGTATGTATGTATGTGTATATATATATATGTATGTGTATATATATATGTATGTGTGTATATATATATATGTATGTATGTATGTATGTGTATATATATATATATATATATATATATATATGTATGTATATATTATATATATATGTATATGTGTATATATATATATAATATGTATATGTGTATATATATGTAGGTGTATATATATGATATGTATGTGTATATATATATGTATTGTGTATATATATATGTATGTGTATATGTATGTATATGTATATATATATATATATATATATATATATATATATATATATATAAATCTAAGACAGCTGAATATGAATATGCTTAGTGATGATTTTTCATCTTTTATAGTGCAGATGTGCAGATTATGTGCAGATATTTTATCTCAGACTGACTTTGGCTGTGTTGAGAGCCGCTCCGTAGCCTGTGCTGATGCCACAGCCCAGCAGACACACTCTGTCCAGAGGCGCCCTGGAGTCCACTTTGGCCAGAGAGATGTCGGCCACCACAGTGTACTCAGAGAAGGTGCTGCAGCCCATGAAGTGGAAAAGACTCTGGCCTTTGCAGGTGAAACGAGACGTGCCATCGGGCAAGACACCTCTTCCCTGAGTCAGCCTATGGAACAGAAACCCAGCAGGTGAGATGGCACTCAAATGCTCAAATGTTTTATTACCCTTTTAAATTAAAAAATAAATAAATAAATAAAATTAGAGAAGCATTAAAATTGCAAATGAATATACTGCAGGAAGACGAGTCTTCTAATTATAGTATACCATTTAAGTAAATGTAAATGTATACCTAATCTTTTGACACAAGTTGGTTTTGGGATTTTTACAGAACTTGCACTCGCCACATTGAGGAATATACAGAGGAATAACAGTGTCACCTGCAAAAACAATCCATACAACGTTATCTACTGTATGAAGAGACTAAATCCTTTAGAGAAAATATATTAACCGGGGTGAAACTTCGTGACTCCCTGTCCCACACTCTCCACGATGCCTGCCCCCTCATGTCCCAGGACCACAGGGAACACACCCTCAGGGTCCGAGCCACTCAAGGTGTATGAGTCTGTGTGGCAGATCCCCGTGGCAACGACCTGAACAAAGGTATCATATTAAGACTTAAAACAAAACTACTTTATCCCTACAAGAAAGTGCTCTGTGAAAATATGTGGCCTCTTTTGAGATGCTTACTGTAATTAACTTAATTAAACAAGTAGACAAAAAAAATGAACCATTTAACTGCCATGACATTTTATTACAATATACATTTCACACTAGATTATACATACTGGCTATTATCAGTTAATGTGGTGCAAAGTACACTGAACCAGATAATCAAACACGTGTACAAGTGTCCAAGGAACAAGTCAAAGGCAATTAGAAAAATAAGTTTCTGAAGAGGTGCCTAGCTAATCATATAAACAATCTATATTACATACGCGTGGATATATGTTCATTACCTTTATGCGGACCTCCCCAGCCTTAGGAGGAGCCACCTCGATCTCCTCTATGACCAGAGGTTTTCCTGCCTCCCAGGCCACTGCAGCCCGGCATGTGATCATCTGAAAAGAGGGAAAACATGGAATATTTCATTAGCAACTTGTACACTTGACACTTGTAAATCACAGGGACTGTCCCCTAGAAAAGCGCAGTACAGTTTACTGTTACTAATTAATAGGTTTTCTCTGTAAACTGCCACCCTTGACCATTAGTGTAACAGAATCCAAATTCTAAAAGATTTTTATAGTTTAAAATAGCATTTAGGAATAATATTTATGTAAGACAAGATAAAGTAGAAGGGAATCTGCCCTAATTCAATTAGGGAACACATGCCAGATGTACTTCTACATAAACAGTCTATGCAGTTCAGAGCACAAGTACATTGTGTTCTTGTTCTGAATGACTATAATATGAAATTCATTCAATGTTTTTAAGAAAACCGCATTCCTACCTTTCCGACGGTTTCCATGTTGGTTGGAACAAAGTCAAGCACACATGGTTAGGTAACAGTGTAGACATTATCATGGTTTTGACCAATCACAAGCAGACTTGTCACTATGTGGGCTGTCCAAACACAGCTGACCCCTTAGCACAGACCGCATACCACTCCTACAGCGCTTGAAAAAAACACCAGATCTGTATATAAGGAACATTGTGTCACAAGTGTTACATAAGTTTCACCAAAGTAACCCTTTCTCATTTGTAATGTTAAAGACTTGCAATTTGTGCAAGTTTATACAAATCACATGTTATTTCTTGTCAGAAATGTAGAAAATAAATAAGTAAAATTCAATTTAAAAATCTATATTTTTATGCTTTTAGGCAGCCTGAATAAAGTCAGACAATAGAAATAATCATTTGAATAGTTGACTAATCAAAAATCAATTGGTCGACCCACTGACCCCAACTAGTAAAATAATCTTTTGTTGCAGAGCGGAGACTTGTTTGTCATAGCAGTGGGTTTCCAAATGATGAAATAATAGAATAATAGAAATGTACAAGTTAAAACTAAATAATTTGAAGAGTGAAAGGTCTTCAATATATCAAATTGTTACAGAATGCTGAAACCCATACATTCAGCTTCACCAAGCTTCGCCATCTAATTACTTCATCTATGCCCCATACATATTTTGGATGTTGAAAATATCAATGAGTGAAATTACCAATATACAATTCAGTGCAGTAACAAGGCTTTTATTTTTCTTTTTTTTTTTGAGGTTTTTATTGCACTTACAATCCTTACAGTCAGCTTCCACAAACCCAGACTTTATTTGGTCTGGAGGAGGGCCTCCTCCTACTTGCCTCCAAATGTTGTTTATTTGGCTCTAATTTTTCACTTGTCTATATCTCTATTTAGAAAGTTCCAAAGTACAGCTTTAACTTAACTTTACTTCCATGAAATCACACAGGTGATGTGTTACACTGTCACTTGAGTACAATCTGATTCACATATATTTGAGGGGTGAGTAATATGGATCTACTGTGGAGAGGTCTTCAGGACAGCCCGCACACTGTGGAGCAAACACAAAACTTCAAATTAACTACTACAGAACACTACAGTTTTTTCAGCAGGATTTCTTTTGGTTTATATGGGTTAGGTTAGTACAGAATTCTTCCCTGATGTCTGAAACAAATTGAACCATGTGAAGATTATAAAGTCTTGTCTTATCTTAATTCAGATTGGCAAATAGAGAAACTAAACATGTAGCTACACATAAAAAAATAAAAATAAAATAACTTGTCAGTGTTAGCAATAACACTGTGGAGTTATCAGTGAAGAGAGAGTTAAGTCCCCCTGCTATCTGTTGTGGCTTCAAATGTTGTACTTGTTCTCCACAGATCTCCAAAGACTGGACAAGGTGCACTCACCATTTTGACTTCTTCATGAGTTCAACAGCTTCCATGACATTATCCAGATCCATGTTGTGTGTAATAAACTCATCCACCATTATCTTCTTTTCCATGTAGCATTTGACCATCTCCGTCACCCCATCCTTACCCTTAAACCCTAAAAAAAGAGAGACAATTATAAAAATAATCAAACGGACAACATTGCATATGTGTTACCTCCAAACAGTGCCCCCCTCCATGTGCGCCCAGAAATAAGGTCCACAGGTTGGACTGTGATGTTTTGAACCAAAGTGTAGCCCACGATCACACTCACCCCCCAAGCCTTGATTGTGGAGTGAAGAGCACTTTGCTATGCAAAGCCAGAAAAAGATTCAAACCCATTTTACTGCAAATATTGAAAATGACACATATACTATTATTACTTCATGCAGTTTGCCACCAGAATGAACTAGTTACCCACCATGACTGATGCACTCCCCACACACTCTATAGAGAAGTCCACTCCTCCATCTGTCATCTCCTGCAGAACCTCGTGGATGGGTTTGCTGTGGTCTGTGGGGTTCACAAAGTCAGTGGCTCCAATAATCTTGGCTTTCTCAAACTTCTCAGGGTTTGTGTCCACAGCAATAATCCTCTTGGCTCCTGCCGCCTTACAGCCCATAACTGCAGCAAGACCCACAGCTCCCAGACCAAACACAGCACAAGTGGAGCCCTCCTCCACCTACATCATATCATCACAGGAACAAAAATGTTACCTCAAACATAAATAACAATGCAACATTCTGCATGGCTGTACTATTTCATACAGGTGGTGTGCAATATTGTTAAAAAGCTGATTTTTGTTGTAAATAGCAAATTTTGGGGTCTGGTAGTATAACATTTGTGAATTAAGATTGATATTTCTCCTGAAAATGCCAAGTAATAGGGAAACCTCTTGCACCCCATCTGAGAGCATATGGCATCTCCACATTCTGCATTATCTATCATATATTTTCGATAGATGGTGAAAGTTTTTGTCTGGTAGGCTTTATAGAGTTTAGTGTGAAAGGAAATCACGGGGAGGCATTCAGTAAATAGTTTGTGTTATTTCATATTCATAAATATTGTAACCTTAGCTGTGTTCACAGCTGATCCGTATCCAGTGCAAATCCCACAGCCGATAAGACACACTTTATCCAGGGGAGCGTCAGGGTGGATCTTGGCCAAGTTAATTTGTCGAACCACAGTGTACTCTGTAAAAGTACTAAGGCCACAAAACTGCAGGATTTTTTTCCCTTTACAGCTGAACCTGGAGTCTACTGGACACATAACTTCCATGGGGATTTCACTCCTACAAATTAATAAAACATACAAGGTTACATAATGTAAATGTTCAACATGTAACCTTACAAGTGTCAAACTGACCAGGCTTTTACACACTGGTTTGTCTTTGGACTCTTACAGAAACGACATTCACGGCACTGTGAGAGAAACACAGGGATCACCTTATCACCTGCAAACAGATAATATTCATGTACTTTACCAAAAAAGGGTTAAGACATTCGAACAAACCATTTTGGTTAATAACCAGTAATTAAAAATACCTACTCATTAACATGTTTAGTCATAATTTATTTTTAAAACATTCCTAAATGTTTATTTAGGCAGAATGTTTTTGTCTAGGAAGAATTTGCAAATGTTTGTTAATTATGAACTACTCATGAACTCATGTAAAATCAGTCTTCCAGGTAGAATACATGGCAAAGGAGAAATGCAATTTGGCAACTGAACAAACTCCCCTGAAACGTTTTACAGCTCATCCAATCTGCTTCCTCAGTTCTGAAGTCCTAAAGAACTCATGAACTAATACTCATGAATGCCACTCAAACTTTTAACTGATAATTAACAAACACTTAAGAGAACAACATTATTAACACACTACTATTCATGCCTGCCACTTATTTGTAAATGTGAACATCATACTTGTAAACACATTTGTATAACCTTTCCTATTTGATACGTGTGGACGATTTATTGTACCAAACAGTTTAATAGTTATAAATGATTTTTTTACTTGTATGGGAAAAAAAAAAAAAAAATCATTAACATGAAAAACATTTAAATTTAACCAGGTTTGAATTTGGTGACCTATCACCTGCAAACAGATAATATTCATGTACTTTACCAAAATACTTTGTTTAGTGTGTCTTATTACGATTCATTGTACCAAACAATTTAACCGTTACACATACAATACTTATTTATGTGTGTGTGAAAACAAGAAAAACCTTTAAATCTAACCAGGTCTGAATTCGGTGACCTCAGCGCCCACACTCTCCACAATTCCAGCGGCCTCATGTCCAAGGACAACAGGAAAGCCGTCTTTGTGCATTCCTTCATACAGGTGGTACAGGTCTGTGTGGCACACTGCAGTGGCCACAATCTGCACATTAGAAACAGAAAATATGAAATATGTACTTAAAACATGAAAACCCTCCAGATTGATTTGACTGTTTTTTTCACCTTAATGCGAACCTCATGGACCTGGGGAGGAGCCACCTCGATTTCTTCTATGACCAAAGATGTGTTGGGCTCCCAGGCGACAGCTGCCTTACATTTTATGACCTAAAAATTTCACACTTCAAATTAAAGTTTGTAGCCTATAGTAGATTTAACTGAACCTTTGGGCAAGTGTGAGTAAGTGCTACACATCCTTTCAAACACCAGGGGTCTCTCAACCCCAATCATATGTATTACATAGAAAAAAAAAGTCACCCATTTCACAACACTTATATGCACTTTTAAATGATCATCCTTAATTAGTTTTAATATGTGTAAGCAAAGTCTGGGATCTCCCTGTATAAATGAAATGAAAAAAAAAATGAAAGTGGATACTCAGTTGTGCTATCAACCAAAATGTTATTTTAAATGCTACACTCTGGATGAGCAATGTTACAGAATAGCCCATATTCTGTAAGGAAATAGATTAAAAGTATAATTTCACCACTGAGAGAGTAAACATAGATAAGGCTTGTATGGCACAAGCTTTGACCCAGTAAAGAGAAGAAAGACCTACCTTTCCAGTTGTATCCATGTTGATTCCAAATAGTTTGAGGAAAAACTTGTAGATGACTGCACAGCGTAACTCCCTGAAGTGTTGGACATAAAATACTTTGTGCCTTAAATATATACAGACAATCAAGTCAATAATTCACCTGGCCCTGCTCCAACTGTGTGATATGTAATAGATAACTTTTATAGACCTGTGACCTTAAAATGGGCTTTGCCAACTTCCACAAACTTGTTAGCAGATTCAAGAAACAATCATAGCATAACAATATTATCGTCTATACCAATCTCTCAACAATGATTTATAAAATCAGGAATCTTTAACAAAAAGAACCGTATAAACAAAAACTGTGCATATAGCTTCAGGCTTATGTTGACAAAAACAGACTTTTTACTCAGACTCTTTTCAACAGACTCTAAAAAATCCAGAACAATTTCTAAACCTTTTTTGCTGTATCTTTGCTGCTTTTCTGGACCGAGATGTCTGTTGTTCTTTCTGGGATCTTGTTATGGCCCCAGGCCTTAATTTGTAATTTATTTTGTGTGCTTTAAATTATTTTGGTGGAACACCTCGATTCCTGCTGCAGGAGCCCTGGCTCGTGATTGGTGGGGCATGTCTACACCCACCTTACCTGCAGCCACCTCACCTGCAGCCTGCACCTGACCAGGGCTGCTGGCCTTGGTGGCCAGTATGCAATTTTGTGTTTGTGTGTGTTAAGGTCTGTTGTTTAGTTCTGTTTTGTGCCTTTTTTTAATTTGGTCACCCGATTCTGTTGGTGGTCTTATGTGGTTTAATTTGGGGAACTTGTGTTTTAGTTTTGTGTGTGTCCCTTTAGTTAACCACTCGTTATTGTGTAAGCCTGCATGACCCCTTTTGTGGCACAAAACTCGTTGACCGTTGTTTTGTTTCTTAATTTAGATTATTTTTTGTATATATTTGAGTCTGTTCTGTTAATTTACCTTTACACCCCTGTTAATTAAACATTATTTAATTTATTCCATTTTACATCTTGGTTTTATTTTTGTTACTTCCCTGTCCCTAGCAGAGCTGGGTCATAACAAATTGGGGGCTCGTCTGGGAGCATAATACCCTATCCCCCCTCAATAAATTGGTATTGATTGATTAAGAGGTTTGTATTAGGTACAAGTTTTTCAATTGATTTGTTTTTGCAAAATTTTGTAGTGGTGTTTGGTGACTGGTTGGTGGAACACTGCCAGTATGCCTGTGGCTGTTGTTTGAAGGCTATTGTTGTATGTGTGAAATTATGCCTTGTGTTGAGGTTATAGCAGATGAGGTTGGTGGACGGCCTGATCAACGAGACATATTTCCTCGTCCTATGTTCCTCTTGCCACCCAGATTTAATTTACCTTTACACCCCTGTTAATTAAACATTATTTAATTGATTCCGTTTTACATCTTGGTTTTATTTTTGTTACTTCTCTGTCCCTAGCAGAGCTGGGTCGTAACAGATCTGCTGTAGCCACTCCTCCAGGGGGGTTACAAACCCTGAGTGCTCCAATCACCGTGGGCACCACTGATGCCTTCACCTTCCAGGCCTTCTCCAGCTCTTCCTTGAGCCTCTGGTATTTCTCTAGTTTTTCGTGTTCCTGTTTCCTGAGATTACCATCACTTGGTCTTGCAATGTCCACCACCACGGCTTTGTTCTATTGCTTTTCCAACACCACTATTTCTGGTTGGTTCATCACCATCCTGTCCGTCTGTATCTGGAAGTCCCACAGGATCTTGGCTCAGTCATTCTCCACAACCTTTGGAGGTGTTTCCCACCTTGACCTTGGGGTCTCCACCCCATACTCTACACAGATGTTTCTGTATACTATGCCCGCCACTTGTTATGTATGCCCTGCCAGCATCTTACACCCGTGCAGTTATGTGCTGAACTGTCTCAGGAGCCTCTTTGCACAGCCTACACCGTGGGTCTTGTCTGGTGTGGTAGATCTGGGCCTCTATTGCCCGGGTGCTCAAGGCCTGCTCCTGAGCAGAAAGGATTAGTGCCTCAGTGCTGTCCTTCAGACCAGCCCTCTCAATCCATTGGTAGGATTTCTTGATATCAGCCACTTCAGTTATGTTCTGGTGGTATGCCCCGTGTAGGGGATTGTCCCGCCATGATGGTCCCTCCAGCACCTCTTCCTCTTAAGTCCATTGTCTGAGACATTCTCTGAGCATGTCATCTTTCAGGGCCTTGTCATTGATGCACTTATGGAGCTTGGATGTTTCATCTTGGACAGTGATTTCCACACTCATGGTCAGGAGCTTTCGTGTCTTAACATCTGTCATCTGTATCTCCTCCTTTGACCAGCTAAAGAGGTACACCATACTGGCTTGTCAAAGCCTGATCCCGTCAGATCTCAGAAGCTAAGCATGGCCGGGCCTGGTTAGTACTTGGGTGAGAGATCTCTGGGAAAATCAGGTGCCACACTGGGGCGCCAGTTAAAAAAAGAAAAACAAAAAACTGTCAGTGTCCTTAGGCAAGGCACTTCACCCACATTGACTAGTAAGAAAGTGTTGTGAGAGTGAGAGATGGTGCTGATCTGAAGGGCCAATGGTGCTGATTGACAGCCGCACTTCTGTCAGTCTGCCCCAAGGCAGCTGTGGCTACAATAGCCACCGGGTATGGAGTGAATGACTAATACTCTGTAAAGCCTTTTTGTGACATGTCTGTGAAAAGCGCTATATAAATAAAAAAAAACATACTTACATGCGAGATAATAAAGCCAGATGAATAAACTGCCTGTTCACAACACAACCTGCAAAAGTGTACGCTTAGTGGCAGAGTAATAGAGCGTGAGCTCTAGCCATGATGGAGACGGAGCCACTGCATTAAAGTCAAACTCGATTTTTTGGGCAATAGGACATAACATGAAAATAATTGGATAATTATTTTGCTGAGTAATTAATTACTTTTACATCATGGTAACTGAGTTACTAACTCAGTTACTTTATGGGAGAAGAAATTTGTAACAGTAACTAATAACTTTTTTTTTTTTAAGTAAAATGCCCAACATTGCATTTAAAACATAGCCACAGTGTTTAGATGACATCTTGTATCAGGCTACATTCACTCTTGCACACACATCATATTAAGATCGGAACTAAACTCATCTGATTAGTGCATTACATACTTACATACTTAAAACTTACTTTAAAAATTTGTCATGGACAATTTGACATAACTGAATCTCAATCTCGTTTTATATTCATTTAAATGCCCAAGCCTGATTTCTACTATATAAATAACTATACTACTACAACAACCTGTAGCTGTGGAGCTACCAGTAGCTCGCCAAGGGATTCTGAAATTATACCATTTTGCTGAATAACAGTTTGGTTAATTACATGCCTATTACCATTGTAAATGTATAATTCTGAAGCCCAACTTTGTGTACTTATAAGTGGACAGTGGTTTATGTTTTCTAGGCATCTAACTGTACCCAAAGGCTTCACTACTTCACTACAATCACTACAACAAAGTGCTCGATGAATATATGTAGTCTCTTTTGAGATGCTTACTGTAATTAACTTAATTAAACAAGTAGACAAAAAATGAACAAAATACATGTCACATACACTAGATTACATACTGCACATATGAGTTAATGTGGTGTAAAGTAAACTGAACCAGACCGTCCCCTAGAAAAGCGCAGTACAGTTTACTGTTACAAATTAATAGGTTTTCTCTGTAAACTGCCACCGTTGACCATTAGTGTAACAGAATCCAAATTCTAAAAGATTTTTATAGTTTAAAATAACATTTAGGAATAATATTTATGTAAGACAAGATAAAGTAGAAGGGAATCTGCCCTAATTTAATCAGGGAACACATGCCAGATGTACTTCTACATAAACAGTCTATCCAGTTCTAAGCAGAGTATTATCATGGTTTTGACCAATCAAAAGCAGAGTTGTCCCTATGTGGGCTGTTCAAACACAGCTGACCCCTTAGCACAGACCTCATACCACTCCTACAGCGCTTGAAAAAAACACCAGATCTGTATATAAGGAACATTGTGTCACAAGTGTTTCACCAAAATAACCTGTTGTGTTAAAAACTTGCAATTTGTACAAGTTCAGACTATTCAAAAGTATTTTTGTCAGAAATGCAGAAAATAAATAAATAAAAATTTTAAAATATATATTTTTTGCTTTTAGCAGTCTGAATAAAGTCAGACATGTACAGCATAAATCTAAGAAACTTTGACTTTTAATGGACTGCAATGATTAATTGGGGTTGGTTGACTATAAAAAGTAAGCAGTCATGTTTTAATAATCACAGAACAAGACATTTTTTACTAAGACAGTGGGATTAAAAATATATATATATATATATATATATATATATATATATATATATACACATACATTTCTGATTTTCATTGACAATACGCTTCATTTTCTAAATATTCTTTATTTAGAAGGCTTCAGTGACCATATTTCAATTATGCACAACAGATATAATGATTTTAAATAGTTGACTAATCGAAAATCTATTGGTGACTAATTGACCCACTGACCCCAACTGGTAAAATAATCTTATGTTGCAGAGCAGAGACTTATTTGTCATAGCAGTGGGTTTCCAAATGATGAAATGATGTAGAATTGTACAAGTTAAAACTAAATAATTTGAAGAGTGAAAGGTCTTCAATATATCAAATTGTTACAGAATGCTGAAACCCATACATTCAGCTTCACCAAGCTTCGCCATCTAATTACTTCATCTATGCCCCATACATATTTGGATGTTGAAAATATCAATGAGTGAAATTACCAATATACAATTCAGTGCAGTAACAAGGCTTTTATTTTTCTTTTTTTTTGAGGTTTTTATTGCACTTACAATCCTTACAGTCAGCTTCCACAAACCCAGACTTTATTTGGTCTGGAGGAGGGCCTCCTCCTACTTGCCTCCAAATGTTGTTTATTTGGCTCTAATTTTTCACTTGTCTATCTCTATTTAGAAAGTTCCAAAGTACAGCTTTAACTTAACTTTACTTCCATGAAATCACACAGGTGATGTGTTACACTGTCACTTGAGTACAATCTGATTCACATATATTTGAGGGGTGAGTAATATGGATCTACTGTGGAGAGGTCTTCAGGACAGCCCGCACACTGTGGAGCAAACACAAAACTTCAAATTAACTACTACAGAACACTACAGTTTTTTCAGCAGGATTTCTTTTGGTTTATATGGGTTAGGTTAGTACAGAATTCTTCCCTGATGTCTGAAACAAATTGAACCATGTGAAGATTATAAAGTCTTGTCTTATCTTAATTCAGATTGGCAAATAGAGAAACTAAACATGTAGCTACATAAAAAAATAAAAATAAAATAACTTGTCAGTGTTAGCAATAACACTGTGGAGTTATCAGTGAAGAGAGAGTTAAGTCCCCCTGCTATCTGTTGTGGCTTCAAATGTTGTACTTGTTCTCCACAGATCTCCAAAGACTGGACAAGGTGCACTCACCATTTTGACTTCTTCATGAGTTCAACAGCTTCCATGACATTATCCAGATCCATGTTGTGTGTAATAAACTCATCCACCATCATCTTCTTTTCCATGTAGCATTTGACCATCTCCATCACCCCATCCTTACCCTTAAACCCTAAAAAAAAGAGAGACAATTATAAAAATAATCAAACAGACAACATTGCATATGTGTTACCTCCAAACAGTGCCCCCCTCCATGTGCGCCCAGAAATAAGGTCCACAGGTTGGACTGTGATGTTTTGAACCAAAGTGTAGCCCACGATCACACTCACCCCCCAAGCCTTGATTGTGGAGTGAAGAGCACTTTGCTATGCAAAGCCAGAAAAAGATTCAAACCCATTTTACTGCAAATATTGAAAATGACACATATACTATTATTACTTCATGCAGTTTGCCACCAGAATGAACTAGTTACCCACCATGACTGATGCACTCCCCACACACTCTATAGAGAAGTCCACTCCTCCATCTGTCATCTCCTGCAGAACCTCGTGGATGGGTTTGCTGTGGTCTGTGGGGTTCACAAAGTCAGTGGCTCCAATAATCTTGGCTTTCTCAAACTTCTCAGGGTTTGTGTCCACAGCAATAATCCTCTTGGCTCCTGCCGCCTTACAGCCCATAACTGCAGCAAGACCCACAGCTCCCAGACCAAACACAGCACAAGTGGAGCCCTCCTCCACCTACATCATATCATCACAGGAACAAAAATGTTACCTCAACATAAATAAATACATATATGATATAGATCATTTATTATATAGCGTGAACCCTTTACCCATTAAATTAGGCATGTTGCTGGGTTTCAGATAACATTGCAACATTCTGCATGGCTGTACTATTTCATACAGGTGGTGTGCAATATTGTTAAAAAGCAGATTTTTGTTGTAAATAGCAAATTCTGGGGTCTGGTAGTATAACATTTGTGAATTAAGATTGGTATTTCTCCTGAAAATCTGAGAGCATATGGCATCTCCACATTCTGCATTATCTATCATATATTTTCGATAGATGGTGAAAGTTTTTGTCTGGTAGGCTTTATAGAATTTAGTGTGAAAGGAAATCACGGGTGAGGCATTCAGTAAATAGTTTGTGTTATTTCATATTCATAAATATTGTAACCTTAGCTGTGTTCACAGCTGATCCGTATCCAGTGCAAATCCCACAGCCGATAAGACACACTTTATCCAGGGGAGCGTCAGGGTGGATCTTGGCCAAGTTAATTTGTCGAACCACAGTGTACTCTGTAAAAGTACCAAGGCCACCAAACTTCAGGATTTTTTTCCCTTTGCAGCTGAACCCGGAGTCTACTGGACACATAACTTCCATGCGCATTTCACTCCTACAAATTAATAAAACATATGAGGTTATATAATGTAAATGTTCAACATGTAACCTTACAAGTGTCAAACTGACCAGGCTTTTACACACTGGTTTGTCTTTGGACTCTTACAGAAACGACATTCACGGCACTGTGAGAGAAACACAGGGATCACCTTATCACCTGCAAACAGATAATATTCATGTACTTTACCAAAATGCTTTGTTTAGTGTCTTATTACGATTTATTGTACCAAACAATTTAACAGTTATACATAAACTACTTATTTATGTGTGTGTGTGAAAACAAGAAAAACATTTAAATCTAACCAGGTCTGAATTCGGTGACCTCAGCGCCCACACTCTCCACAATTCCAGCGGCCTCATGTCCAAGGACAACAGGAAAGCCGTCTTTGTGCATTCCTTCATACAGGTGGTACAGGTCTGTGTGGCACACTGCAGTGGCCACAATCTGCACATTAGAAACAAAATATATGAAATATGTACTTAAAACATGAAAACCCTCCAGATGTTTTTCTCACCTTAATGCGAACCTCATGGACCTGGGGAGGAGCCACCTCGATTTCTTCTATGACCAAAGGTGTGTTGGGCTCCCAGGCGACAGCTGCCTTACATTTTATGACCTAAAAATTTCACACTTCAAATTAGTTTGTAGCCTATAGTAGATTTAACTGAACTTTTGGGCAAGTGTGAGTAAGTGCTACACATCCTTTCAAACACCAGGGGTCTCTCAACCCCAATCATATGTATTACATAGAAAAAAAAGTCACCCATTTCACAACACTTATATGCACTTTTAAATGATCATCCTTAATTAGTTTTAATAAGCAAAGGCTGGGATCTCCCTGTATAAATGAAATGAAAAAAAAATGAAAGTGGATACTCAGTTGTGCTATCAACCAAAATGTTATTTCAAATGCTACAGTCTGGATGAGCAATGTTACAGAATAGCCCATATTCTGTAAGGAAATAGATTAAAACTATAATTTCACCACTGAGAGTAAGCATAGATAACGCTTGTATGGCACAAGCTTTGACCTAGTAAAGAGAAGAAAGACCTACCTTTCCAGTTGTATCCATGTTGATTCCAAATAGCTTGAGAAAAAACTTTGAAAAGACTGTGCTCCGTAACTCCCTGAACTCCTGCGAGTGTTGGACACAAAAACAGAAGCAGGCTCTGTGTTTTAATTATATACAGCCAATCAAGACCATAGTTCATCTGGCCCTGGTCCAACTGTGTGAGCTGTAAGAGATACATTTTATACCCCTGAAACATCACTTATTATAAATACAGATTATATACAAACCAGTATCCTCATCTAACCTAAAATCAAAATGGGCTTTGCCAACTCCCACAAACTTCCCAGAGAAAAAAAAATTGCTGCTCAAATATGTCTTTTTTTAAGCTTGGGAGACAAAGTTGAGACACTCATTGTAGTCTCATTATAGTTCTAGACCAACATATAGCTTTGGCTAATAATCATAACGACAACTAAATGTTCCATTTTAGAACATGTTCCAAATGCAGTCATTAATGAATCTCAAGGTTTACATATCATTGTAGACAGAATGTTCAAAGTTTCAAAAGTTGGGTATAAAGAGATTAATTGGATGTCTTCAGGAATTTCTCAGTACATTTTTAAGAGACAACGTGTCTATGGAAGATGGTGACTGGTTCATATTTTGGGTACAGTTCTCTGGATGCAGCTTTTATCACTTGTTTTGTAGTCATCACCTTGGTTCAGGAAAAGACGCTCACACTGCCTCCAGTCGACTTCTACCTGCAACACATACTTAAATATCTTAATAAAAACCAGAGGGGAAAAAACTTAAACTTATATACTTATATACATACACTTAATAAAGCTAAAATAATTATGATCATAATTATTTAATATTTAATAATATACTTTCAATTTCCCATACAAATACTCTTCACATAAATACATTATTTAGCTACTACTAGAATATATTAAATAATATGAACTTTTTCATGCTGTCTGCTTGAATATAGAAAAGGAACACATGGTGGAATTGTGTTGTAGGGTTAGGTGTAGCCTGCTCGTTTGGGCTAACTGAAACACAAACTGTTCGGTGGCATTTCTACTTGAGAGTTTCCACATACAATAGTATGTAGACTGTATAATTGAACACACTGAAAGTGAAGCACACACCAGTGCATTTTCTGTCCCAGACTCACAGTTAAATCAAGTGCAGTTCTACAGTCACGGTCTACAATGATAACAATAATGCTAGCGGTAGCTGCTAGCGCTAGCATTGTTGTTAGCATTGTTAGCTTCAACCTAACTAGCTGTGAGCCACAGAGAAATGTACAAAGTGTGAGTGCAAGTGCATTCTTGAGGTGATTCCAAATGATGTAGTTTGTCCATAGCCACTAAATGAAATGAAGACGTCTGCATCTGAGCAAGTGCTAGCATGATTAGCTCATTAATTAAACAAGAGTTATCATAAATGTGCATTAAAAATGGTTAAACCAAGCTAAAGATAACTTACCTCTATTGTAGTTGAGAGCGGGCCTGCTTTTTCCATTAGAAGGGGTTAAATGGGCCTACTGTTGATAGTAGGAGACGTTTTGTTGAGTTCCTGACAGACGTGTTCTTCAGCCGCTCTGAAACAGCAGAGCCAAAATGTTCAGCAGCTCCAGTCACACCAAACCCACACTGACCAATGGGCTTAAAGTTTGTCCAAGTTCAAGTTGAGTAACAGATGAGAAGTACGACACGGAGGCTAGTCTGAGGTTAGTTTGAGCAGAAGGATAAACACAGTGAAAGTTTGAGATTTAGTTCTGGCCAAATAGATCTCCTTCATGTCAACAGAGGAGTCTAACCTGAGCACTTCAGTGGCCTGTTTCTCAGGAGCAAAATATGAGAAGCTGGAGCAATAAGCCAGTTGCTCACAGTGGTCTTAAACAATGCTCAAAATGGTCTAGGACAGGGTTGTCAAACTCATTTTGGTCCGGGGGCCGTATTCAACCTACTTTGATCCCAAAGAGGCCGGATCAGAAAACTCATGGTATATATACTCCAAAAATAACAATAAGTTCAAATATTTGTGCAGAGAAACACAAATCTATTACAAAAATCTTTTTTAATTGATGAAATCTTTCTTTTACAAAATATTATAATATTATGAACAACCTGAAACTTTAAGAAAAATGCAATTTCAACACAATGTTTTAACATTACCTTGTATGCAAATAGGAATAAGTAAATTTTTCTTGGAAAATCCTGCACTCTGCATCCACTTTTCTCAATTTTGCTGATGAGGGTGTCACAGTCAACAGTCAAAACGATCCTCCTTTAAGAACATTTGGAAAGAGGCAAGTGTTCATTTGTGCTGCTCTGGTGGTAGGGGCCACGCAGGCTCTGGAGACGCTGCTATGCTAAGCGGCGCAGAAAATTACCAATATTTTAATAGAAAATATAATTAAAATATTTTAGAAGAAAATCAGCCGAGGGCCAGATTAAAGGTCTTGGAGGGCCGGATCCGTCCCCCGGGAGAAAGACATGAGATTTTACTGAGATCTCCTCTTTGGATTTTCTTCCCTCTGGGAAGCAGATTCAAGAAACATAGTGAATCATAGCATAACAATATTATCGCTTGTCAATCTCTCGACCATGATTTATACATTCAGAAATGTCTAACAAAATGTAACATGTAAACAAAATCTGTGCGTATAATTTTGGGTTTATGTGGACAATAACAGACTTTTTAACTTTGACCTCTAAAAAAATTGGAACAATTCCTCTTGTTTTACCTCCTTTTTAAACAATCGTTTAAGCATAATTTGTTCAGCCTGATTTGAACTTTGAACCGCTTGACTGGTTCTGGATGTTCCAGACTGTTGTTGCTTGGTTGTTATGTAACTTAGTTTATGTATTCTGATGAGAGTTCACTGTGATAGGTAAAACCACCTGTCACTCAGAGTATAACAGAGCCTGACCAGTAGAAAGAGCGCTTTGAGAGAGTGGAATTATTATTACAGTATATTTGTACAGACATGTAACAGTCACATGTTAAATAAGCTGGAGAGGGGCATTTAGGATACTATTCAATTGTATTGCAAATACGCATATATTGCACATTTCTTCATTTCATGGCTGTCATTGTGAATGCATTGATATTTGGTGTATTTACATGCAGTGGATTGAACACTTCTGTGCAGGGTGATAACTGTGTATAGCCTTACCTTTGTGTAACTTCTCGTTTTTCCCTATTGACGGTAGTAAATATTTTGTGACCCTGGACTGAACAGTGCAAGTGTGTGCTGTCCAAACACAGCTGGCTCTCGGCACACACAATGTCCACATACCACTCCTTATCTAGCCCTCAACATGAAATAAAACATTAGGAGGAGTGTATTCCAAGTGCTATTCTATTCAAATAATAATACATGTTACGTTTTATTTGAAAATAGTGAAAACTAATACCACAAAATGCTTTCAAAAATATTTTTATTTCAGTTCATGGAAAAGGGAGGAACTCATTTCAACTGTGCACAGCAAACATTAGCCCTCATTCTTCTTAAACCAGATTTACCCATACTAATGCACATCAGAATTTCATGGTAAATACTGGAAGGAAGAGCAAATTTGCAGATGGTTTACTTAAAGGAGAAACAATCAACTTTTTAGCAACTTAACACAGCATTCTGTACGGCAAACTAGGATAATTATCAGCTATGGTTTTACTTTTCCCCTGGAAATGTGGCTGTGGGTCTAGTTAAGGTGTTTTAAATGTTTTAAACAGGATTCAGTATGCATCTACTATGGAGAGGGCTTCATGACGACTCGGATGCTGTGGAGCAAAAACAAAACAGCCATAAGAAAAAAGGCAGTTAATAAAGTACATTTTGGCTTATTATTGAGTACTAAAGCCTGGAGAAAGCACTCTCACCATTTTGACTTCTTCATGAGTTCAACAGCTTCCATGACATTATTCAGGTCCATGTTGTGTGTAATAAACTCATCCAGCATCAGCTTCTTTTCCATGTAGCGTTTGACCATCTCCACCGCCCCATCCTTACTCTTAAATCCTAAAACAAAACATAAAATAATTGATTAATAATTAAAAAAAAGCCATGGCATAATGATCAGACCCATTAACTGTTACCTCCAAATAGCGCCCCCTTCCATGTGCGCCCAGTAATAAGGTCACCAGGTCGAGCTGTGAACGTCTGAATCAGATTATAGCCCACAATCACACTCACCCCCCAAGCTGGAACTGTGGAGTGAAGAGCACTTTCCTGCAGAGTCAGAAATGTGCAAAATTATCAAGTTGGAAAAAAAATTATAATAAAATGAAATAAAATGAGCCAAAAGTTTCATTTGATATATTCAGTTAATGTGTCTTTGCCACAGGGCCTATGCTGAGTAAGGGGTGTTTAAGGGGAACCTCAACCATTTGTCATAACAAGTGGAATTTAAGTGCAATGCAACAGGCATAAGGATGGATTTTTCAAAACAATATTGTTAAGTATTTGTAGAGAAAGTTTCAGTGGTTGTCATCTGGACTCTGTTTTTGCAGTCAAGACTTTTCGGCTCCCATCCAGAAGCCAATTTTACAAATGATGGAACTGGCTTGAAGCACTGGGAATTTATCCACCTCCTACTACAATCCTACTCTGATTAACTCCAGGACCAATGAATCACTACACCGTCTTATTGTTGAGTATTGTTGTTGGCTCCAGGTTTAGGTTTCTCACAGTGAGGAGCAGTACATGCAACCACTCTGCAGCAATCTCAGTTTCATGGTGTGTTCACATTTTTCAACAACACATTAAAATTGGGACTTAACTCAGACTAAACCTGGAACAGAACTAAACCAAGATCAGCATTTTATTGTCTGATAATCAGGAATTGAGTTGTTGTTAGCTTGACCGTCACAGCAAAACTCTGCTTTAGCCTCTGAAAGGTATCTTGTCAGTGCCGTAGCTACCCATTAAGCATATTACGCAAAAAGGGCACCAAGTGCTTGCAGGGACACCTCGTGAATCCTCGCAAAACTACTGGCATAGCATCTGGCTGCCCACAGCACTTTGAGCAGTCATCATGACTACACAGAATATCGGTCCTCAATTTTCACACATCGCACATCACAGCATCTGTGTGTAAGGCGGATGGTTAGCTACGGCTCTGTATCTTGTGGTAATGTTTTTATGTGTCTTCCTCTTTGCTGCAAAATCAGTTGCATCCAGGGCCATCAGATTGGGGGAGTAAATGGCCCTTTACCCAGGGCCCAGTGCAAGGAGGGGCCCCTCGCAAAGTCTGTAGAGTGCATTTTCTATTAGACAACATGGAGTATGGGCCCACCAAGATGGTTTGTACTTAGGGCTCAGAGATTTGTGCTATACCCCTGGTTGCACCAAAAGTGAAGTTGTAGTTCTTTCTAACTACCCACCACGACTGATCCACTCCCCACACACTCCAGGGAGAAGTCCACTCCTCCATCTGTCATCTCCTGCAGAACCTCGTGGATGGGTTTGCTGTGGTCTTTGGGGTTCACAAAGTCAGTGGCTCCAATAATCTTGGCTTTCTCAAACTTCTCAGGGTTTGTGTCCACAGCAAAAATCCTCTTGGCTCCTGCCGCCTTACAGCCCATAACTGCAGCGAGACCCACAGCTCCCAGACCAAACACAGCACAAGTGGAGCCCTCCTCCACCTACAGAGAAGCATTGATATTTCTACTCAGTGAATAATCATTAAAAATGCACTATTTAACTTTTCTGGTGGAAAGTCCGCCACCTGCTTGTCCCCATACTGATGGCATTGTTTTGCCTGGAATCTTCCATAGTATGGCATTACACTTTTTAAACTCCATGGGGATAAGCAGGTGATGCCACCAGGTCAAGTTAGGTGAAATGTGTGGAGAGGCAGTAAGAATGCAATTCCCTCAGGCACCATATAATAAATGCAACACATACTTCTAACCTTAGCTATGTTCACAGCTGATCCGTATCCAGTGCTAATCCCACAGCCAATGAGACACACTTTTTCCAGGGGAGCGTCAGGGTGTATCTTGGCCAAATTAATTTCCTTGATCACAGAGTACTCTGAAAAAGTACTAACACCTAAAAACTGCAGGACTTTTTTCCCTTTACAGCTGAGCCTCGAGTCTGAAGCAGTCATAGTATCTTGGCGGACTTCACTCCTACACAACGAATTAAGGAATACATATTGTACTGCATTTATCATAAGAATTGAATATCTACAATAAAAACTCACCAGCTTTTAACGCAGTGATTTGTCTTTGGACTCTTGCAGAACAAACAATTGCGGCACTGTGCGAGGAACAGGGGGATCACCTTGTCACCTGAACAATAAAATAATGAAATCTGAAGCTAAATAAATACAGCATTCTTCTGTTAAATAAATCTAACCAGGTTTGAATTCAGTGACTCCAGATCCCACACTCTCCACTATTCCAGCGGCCTCATGTCCAAGCACCACAGGGAAGCCATCTTTGTGCATTCCTTCATACAGGTGGTACAGGTCTGAGTGGCACACTGCAGTGGCCACAATCTGATAAAACAATTTAGAACAAACACATTTTTCAAAAAAATATGAATCACTTCATTAGAATTTTGAAAAATCAAAAGAAAATCTGTACTTTTTCCTCACCTTAACACGAACCTCATTGGCCTGTGGTGGAGCCACCTCAATTTCTTCCATGACCAAAGGTGTGTTGGGCTCCCAGGCGACAGCTGCCTTACATTTTATGACCTTAAGATGTAATAAATTAAAGTACATATAATGAATGACTTTTTACGCACCAGCAATAAGACAGAGAAAAGCAAACTGGGTATCACTTTACTGTAGCCTTTATACCATGTTCGTACAGTATAATTTAACAATATGCAAACTTAAACCTTACTAGCACGCTTTACATGTTAAAATATGTATACTGAATTAGTAATACAGTAAAACACAGTGTGACTGAAAAGTGGTGTACATCTATATAAAGTTTTTAAAGAACCCAGTACAAGACATGCATGGCACAACATTTCACGAGTTTGAAAGTCATCTTCTAAATAGAAATGTGCAAAGTAACCCGAATTTGTGACAGATCCAAACCTTTCCAGCTGTGTCCATGTTGATTCCAAATTGTTTGTGGATAAAGTTGAAGATAGTGCAGCTCAAATCCAGCGTTAAACAGGGAGCTGGATCAGGCACACAGACTCTTAAATACATGCAGCTCAAGGGGGTAGGTGTTCACTTGGACATGCTCCACAAATGACTACAAGAGAAAGGTGCTATAAGGTCATTCTACAGTGCTTAACAAGTTGTTTTATTTAAATAGCATTACAAACAAGTAAGTGTGGTACACCAAGGTATAGGTGCAACTTGAAAATGGGTTACAATTAATTTTCACCAAATTCTAGACAGCAGAAGTAAGATAGGAGAGAATATAACATGACCAAACTCCCGTATTAAGCTAAGCTGTGCTACAAATAACAGCAGACATTAGCAATGTCAAACATTCACCATGTTTAAATAGCGCCCTTTAGCCTTGGCTACTCTCTTGTTTGTTTTGTTGTAATGTCCTAATTTATCTGCAGCAATTTGACTTTGAGGAATGCCATGCATTCATATAACCAACATGTCATTGTAAGCAGTATTGCTGCTTCTCCCCAATAAGTTCAAGCTGACTGTAACAAACAGGCTGGTTTGTTATGAGAACATGAGAACACTCAGCACCTTCACCCTTCACGAAGACACTTTAAAACACTGCACTTTTGATAGCACACAGCACTTTAAACATATTTGCACATATTGCAAAAAGACATTGCACACAATTGGTTTTAAAATGTATTGTCTTTCCTTTTACTGCTTTTAATCCTGTGGTACTTTAATTGAAAGCTGCTGATCCCTGGAGGAAAAGGAGACAGAATTAAATTGAATTAGTGCAATATATATATGGTGCAATATATCTGTTTTGAAATGTTTTAAGTATGGATGTGTGTGGTAGGGTAGTTTATGGTGTTTTAATGAATGGTGTGGTTCTACTTTTTACTTACATCCTTTTATCTTCTGTCCAGGTCCCAAAAGAGTTCCCCTGGCACGAGCTCCCATTTTTAAGGTTCCAGGCAGGACCATGTGCGTTATATTGTACAGGGGTCATAGGTTAGATGTTTTATTGGTTTATGGGCTTTAAAGTTTCATTGGTGTATGGTTTTAGGTTTATGGTTTCTTGCACATTTTGTAATGATTGAAAACAAAAAGTAAATTGTGGCCCACTGCTTCATGTCTTTGTGTGGATTTTTAGACCTTACTCACTGAATCCCAACCTGCTCACGGTCAACCTATGTCACACAGACCCAGTGTTAAGGCTAATCTTTTACTGTGAACACATTTTAAGGCGTTAATAAGTCACTACCCTTCACAGACTGGGAGCCTCATATTCATGTTTACAGAGATTTCAAACATTGTGCATGTTTGTGAGACAGTTTAGCCAAGCCTTCATTCTTGTTTGTATCAATGTTTAAATCCTAATTTGAACTACAGATACCATTTTGTATCTGTAGAGTGTCTTACAAAAGTATTCAGAAATTCAAACAATATTCTATTTAGATTAGTTATAACAATAAAAAATGCAGATGAAAGTAAGTGATGGAAAAAAGATGGCATAAAACATTTACCGGTAATGATCCACCAGCTCAGTATCATTGCATAATTTTTTATGAAAAAAAAAAACAAAAAAAACAAGAGCAAACATGTCTGAAATAGTCAAGGCACAAAATATGTGACAGTGATTGAAACTAAGAGTGTTTTTGTAGCAATCTGTTCACAATGAATTGATCTTTAGGTCAGATGATGAATTGACCATTGCTTTCCAATGCTTTTAGGACATAATACCATAATTATTCTAAAAAAAATATAGTCAACAGGCATTTTAAAGTTATTTTAAGTTATTTGCAGTTATCAGTTGGAGCGGAACCCGGTGAACTACAGCCTTGTTGACTGGACTGACTCGTGGGAGTTGAGCTGGACTGTCTTAGGAATCAATCTAAACACAGTTGGAAAGGCTACAAAATCTATATTAGGTGAATTATCTTAATTTTTTGGGTGATAAAGGATATGCTGTGTCACAAACCATAGGTCTTAATGAGATAGCACCAGCCTGAATGTTTTATGATATGTGTTTTTGTCTATTTTGTTTAAGATGGATAGTGTCTATTAGATGGTTTGTTCAGATAGTTAAGTTGGTCCATAACTAAATAGCTGCTATCCATGGTCCCTTTAGACCATGTATCAGTCAGCCCAGGGGGTCCTCAATGAGTATGGTCCTTTACCTTGGCGATCTTTCATGTGCTGCAGTTTCATCAGTTCACAGGCATTATTTCCAGTCACCAATCTCACCTCGGTGTCTAGGCTTGGCACATGCAAAAAGCTCATGTGTGCAAATTACTTTAATTGTTCCTGTTATGGAATGTTCTCTCTTGTTCCAGGAATGTCGGCCTGGGTGAAGACACCAGGTAGAGGATAGAAGACATTATCATTCAGAGCAACAACCTCTAGCTCTGAAATAACATAATTGTCCACAAACTTGTCCTGAGACATGCTTCTTAGCAGGAAGGTGGAAATTTCTCCTTTGGCTTCCAAGTCCCCCACTGTACTACCAGTGTTTGTAAGTGCTATATTATCATCTTGGCATGTTTGGTCCTTACTTGCACGGGTATTATAGGAGACACACACTCCTGGTGCACGTCCTGATCTTCACCTGTTGGCTGCTGTGTGCTCTTGGAGGTGTCCCATTCATTGGATGAAGGATGGTGGGGTGCTTCTGCCTGCACAGATCAAACTCCTCAGCCTCTCCGGTAAGTTCTATTCCAAGGTACTGGAGAGGAGAATCCGGCCGATAGTTGAACCTCAGATTCAGGAGGAGCAGTGTGGTTTTCGCTCTGAGCGCAGAACACTGGAACAGCTCTATGCTCTCCATCAGGTGCTCTAGGGTTCATGGCAGTTTGCCCAACCAGATGTGCTTTGTGGATTTGGAGAAGGCATTCAACCGTGTCCCTCGTGGTGTCCTGTGGGGGGTGCTCCGGCAGTATGGGGTCTGGTGCCTTTTGCTAAGGGCTGTCCGGTCCCTGTATGACCGGAGCAGGAGCTGTGTTGCTGGTAGTATGTCAGACCTGTTCCTGGTGCATGTTGGACCCCGCCAGAGCTGCCCGTTGTCACCAGTTCTGTTCATTGTATTTATGGACAAAATTTGTAGGTGCAGTCAGGGGCTGGAGGGGGTCCAGTTTGGGGACCACAGGATCTCATCTCTGGTGTTTGCAGATGATGTTGTCCTCTTAGCTTCATCACATCAGGACATGAAATGTACACTGGAGTGGTTTTCAGCCGAGTGTAACTGGGATGAAGCTCAGCTCTTCCAAGTCCGAGGCCATGGTTCTCGATCGATAAAAGGGGGCTTGCCCTCTCTGGGTGGGTGGAGAGGCCCTGCCTCAGGTGGACGAGAAAAAAACATTCTGATTTGAACATAATCATAGCGTAATCATATGTAATAGATGAAAACAATAAATGTAATTGTACCAGCAAAAAAACAACTTTCAGCTCTGGTTATCTATTAACTAACTGTTATCTATTAACTAACTGTTACCTAACTATTCAAATAAGATAAGTTTCCAATCCACCCTAATTCAAATACAAAGAGATGCGAGTCTCAAGAGCAATAGGGAAAAGCAGACAATCACTATTTAAAACAATACAAAAAACTCAAACAGTGCATAGTGAGGGCCCCCAGATTGCCAACGCCACCACTGGCTGGGGAAATCCTCTGCACTTGTGTCAATTACATTTCAGTTAAACACTATATTCAAACTCAGTAGGTTTGTTTGTATACCCTAGCCATTTTTTCATTATTATCAGATATTTCTGCTTTGGACCATTAGTTTCTCTTGTCCAGGTCTTCTTCAGGTAACAATGGCTTTAAACATAACTACGGCTCTCCTCAATGGAAGTATGTACACAACACGTCTTGGACCTGAACATTACCTGCTACCTGCTTAAGCTTGGCCTCTACATTTGTTGAAAACTTTGCTCCATCAGGATCTCACAAAGATAAAGGACACGGTAAGATTATGAATGAAATTCCTCACAACGAATGTATGGGGCTTCTGATTTAAGGGAACAGGTTTTTTGCATGAAGAGCTGCTGTAATTTGTTATAGACTATTCCATAAAAATTCTCAAAGTGGGAAGTAAAAATGAACTGAGCACTGTAAGCCAGTTAAAGTTACTATGAAAACTATGGAAGAAGATGCTATGTCTACAGAAGGAACAAACTGTTAAGGAATCACTGGTCAGACCCAAATATGCAAAGGGAAAAAGTATTTATTACACAAAAATAGTCTTGGCAGGGGGATAGATTCCAGGGGAGGCAGGACGGGTCCGGGTTGGCTGCAGATGAGAGGTCTGTGGAGATGGAGGCTGACCGGAGGCTTACCGGAGGCTTACAGAAACTGGTGGGTACGGGATGAGGCTGGCTCCAAATGAAGTGCTGGGGATAGTACAAAAGAAACAGGTAAACATCAAAAAGTATCAGGAATTCTCAAAAATCTTAAAAAAGCCTGAGTAGTTCACCGCTGGGATGACGGAACGATCTGGCACTGGAGAGCAGGTCAGCAGGTCTTTTATTGTAGGAGATGATTACTGATGAAGAACAGGAGTGGAGCTCAGCAGGTGCATGATTGGGCCCCACCCAGGAAATGCCAAACAAGGTAAGTGGATACAGAGAGAGGGAGCAGGGAAAGGGGGGGTAGGAGGAGCAGGGAGAACCCTCACACAAACTCCGTAACGAAAAAAATTACAAACTCACAAGGGACATTCATGAACTCATAGTGTTCAAGCAAAATGCACCTGAGGTCCTGACAGTATATGAGAGCTTGGAAAACTGAGAACCAATGCAAAGTTTCATGAGTTATTAAAACTAGTTTTGTTATACTGTAGTAATAATACTAATACTAATACTAATAATAATACTTATAATAATAATAATAATAATAAACACAGACCTTTTAGGTCTAATTATATTTGGCACAAAAAAGGTTTAACAAGTCATAAAAAGTCATAATATAATAGAAAATCAAAAATGGTGTTGCCAAGAATAAATTATGTCAAAATCTCATCTCATTTCCGTGAACCAAATCTTGTGTCTTATCTCAGGGGAATGTTAGGGATGAGATGAGACACAACTCCTACAGGATGGGGCCATGGAAACCCAACATGTGTATGTGTGTGCATATGTGTGTGTGAAGAGAAAATACTTGGTGGTTTAAAGTTTCTTTGTTTCAATCTATACAAATGTGTGTGTATGTCTGCATTGTTTTTGTTTTGGTTCAGTGTTCGTCCCATCCTAAGGAGCGCTCCATGATTTATTGACCCATGAATGGAAGAATTGAACTTACTGCAATAACTACACAGTCATTTACACACTTACTATTACATTAACAGGTTTAACACAGACATCCATGGGGCAACAGGGGATCTTTCTCACTAATGGGTGTGGTTTTTCTTTAGGTGGGTGCTTTCTTGTTTTGGTGTGGGCCAATGACCATGTAATTGGCAACAGGAAAGGGGCAGTGCTTGTTGTTTAAAAACCCTGTGAACCTCTCTTTTACTCTAGCCACATCTCAGTTCTCTTTCCTTGCCTCCGTTTCCTTGCTTCCTCTCCTCGATCCTCCATTTTTCAGCTGTCAATCAAATGCACCATATTAAGTCCCAAGAGGAAGCGAGGGGAAGGAAACCGCAGAGGAAACATTATTTGTGTCAGTGAGGAGTTTATATTGTTGCAAGTTAAGAACAGATACAGCAGCAAATGATGCTTGACATGTAAAATAATCCTGAATTTGATATTAAAATTAAGGAGCTAGGAAAAGGCTGTCCCCTTCACCTTCAGCTCATGTCTCCTCCTGCCTCCCTCCTCTTGCCTCCCTCCTCTGATCTTCTCTCCTCACTGTGTCTCCTCTGTGAGTGGGATTTCTTCATCCATTTACTGCAGAATTGAGGAGAAGAATCAAGGAAAAGGAAGTGAGTAAAGAGAAATGTGATGCGACCTCTCTCATCCTGTTGTGTCGAAGGTCAGTAGAAAGCCGCTCATCACATCACACCTATAGCACTTTGATATCAAATGGTTAATGGAATAGTGATAACTAGACCTTATTTTAATGCTTTAACCAAATATTTGTAACTGAAAATCCTCTCACTCTTTTGTTTACCTGTCTAGCCGAGGTTCTCCAGGCAGTCCAAAGTCCAGTCGGCCGCTCTGTGGTTGAAACCAGGGCACGCTGGGGACAAGGTTGCACACCAGCCATGCCAGCTATTGATTGTGAGTCACAGAGCCAGTTCAGTCCGTCCATAAACCTGCACCTGGACAAGCTCTCAAAGCCCAAAACCAACTCTGCCTTCCCTTTGTGACACTTTAATTATAATAAAATCAGTGAAAGTAAAGTGTGCTGTCCATAGTGCCCTGGTGATCCATGATATCTGCTGTACTGGACAGTCAAGCCCTTGGGGGGCATTACACATTCTTCATTATAAACACATCAGTATTATATTGTAAATACCATATAATTCAAATTGATTAAACTAAAATAATATTTTCTTGTAAATATAATTTTATAATATATACCTTAATTAGCCTTAAAAAAGCAACATTTCTTGTTTTTTTAATTGCTAAAAATTACCTTGCAAAGCAAGAATTCTTACTGTGTGTGGGTTTGCCTTTCCACAGATCTGACCTCTGACTTGACCTGATGACGCCACTTGCAAGTATTTACTACTACTGAATCAGCATTAATAAACAGTTTATAGCCTGCACTCTGAACCACTCACAGCTGAACCTGGGCTGCCAGAGCCTTAACCTAAAAGTACTTCATTGCATTATTCATATAATCAACAATGAAGAACAATTTGTACTCATTTATCAATACACACATTAACAATAAAAACCACCTTATCATTTTATTACCAAGAGGCATAAAAGACATAATAGAAGAGTAATCTGCTGTCAAAGTGCAAACATTTGAAGTGGTGACAATGGAGCAAATCAGAGATGTTAGATACAGGGAAAACCGAAAAGACAATATTTCGTATATAGTTTTTTCAAGGCACTGTCAAAAGGGGAAATAAATGGAAGATGATTACATTACCAAAATACATTATTCTCTTGTCCCTGCAGGCTTCTATTTGGAAATTAAAGGAAATTAAACCTGCATCATCAGATTACCCCAAATTGACAAAAGTGTACAGTAAATGTTACCAACAGACATACGCATAGTGCATTTAAAACATAGCTGCAGTGTTTAGATGACATCTTGTATCAGGCTGCATTCACACTTGCACACACATAATTAAAATTGGAACTAAACTGGGACTACACCAGGACTAAACCAGGACCAAGTCAAGACCACTCACCTGATTAGTGCATATTACTTAACATAACACTTATATGTTCAAGTTAAGACCAGCCTTTTGCACAAAACAGAATATGACATTCCCATTTAGTAATAAGATACAAAGGGTCCAAAGAACTAGATTACAATATGCATTTCAATGAGCATGGTGGTTGTCTGCAGAAATGGATATGTAAAGTATTTTCATTCAGAACTCTTGTCTGGTCAAAGTGCAGCAACACCTCCATATAAATTACACAAAGTCATGTGTTGTCATTACCTTTGACCACAGTGTACTTAGTCTCTAATAAAAGTGAACTTACAAATGATAGGATAACTTTTATCAGAACTTTAAAACATTTTCTCTGATCCTTAAACAGTTTTATCATTATAAAAGTACCCTATTATGGTACCAAAGTTGTAAAAGCAGATAGAAGATAGATGTTATAATTATAACTGTAATAATTTACAAATGTACTAATGTACAATCAATCATTATCTATTCAGTGGAAGTGTTTTATCAGTGTGTATGCGTGTGCATGAAAAGATTCCACTAGGTGAATTATATATAAAAAAAAAAAAAGTTGTTCACTGTTCTAGTGTTTAAAAATAAATGGTAACCATCTTCTGGTACTTTGGCCCAACAATGAATTCTTGTGCTTTATAAAATCACAACTCAAAGTGCATTCACATGAAATGAATGACCTTCCAACATAGGTTAAAATAGGGCTGATATTATTCAACATCATAAACATACCCTTTGTCAACTGACATGGAAATGTGACTCAATGAATAATATTAATAATAATAATGATCAGCTCTGTTGATCCAAGTAACAGTTACTAACTACTGCCACTGTCACCTCTACAACTGTACAAACCATGATGTAAATCCAGTAATATGATTCTATATTTGGCACTATTGTTTAATGTACACTGTATGATTACAGCAAAACATTATAGAATATTCTTATGATCTTATGACCATGCATCATACAACTGTATAAAGTAAAATCAAATCTTTTGTTGTTAGGTGGGACTGTTAAACACAATATATGCTGTATCTTATTTGTAGAGCCCTTTGTCCCTTGACAGCCTAAAATTGAACTTTTAAAATACTGAGAATTGTCTAACGAAAGCACTTTACACAAGTTTGCTGCCAGTGATACATTTTTGGTTTAATCTAGACCTCACAATATTCTTCTTTTTGAGCATTAGCTTGTGACTTTTCTTGCCACAGGTTCAAAACTTAACTTATCCCAACGGCACTGGCATTGACAGACTAGAATATAGTAATTTTATAACTTAAAAATATTATAGCAAAATTATTTTACATAGCAAAATACTGTTACAAAAATGGCTGAAACTAAGTAATATAAATGACCTTTTCTTCTGGTTAAGGCAAGGCAGAGTTACAGACAAGCTCTCTTAGAAAACATTAATAACTGTTTCCTATTGTGGTTGTGTGTTGTCTTGACACTGAAGACTGTTATTTATCAATGTCCTCCAGTGAATTGTCGTCACACGAGCAAACCAAAGATGGCCGTACTCTCTGACGGGAATACTTGAGATGAAGAAGGTCTCCCACCTCATTTATGGCACTCAGAGCCTGAGGAAACAATAGAAATAGTCAATAAGAGCCAACGTGCAGTAATAGTACAGAACTATAGATAACCACAACAATGCAGTGTTTTACGTCACATTAGCATACAGTATACGTCTCCTTAACAAGAGTGAAGGCAGCTGCGTAGGTGACATTATCATGAAGAACATTGAGGCATGGTGTGATGATGATAGAGGACTGAGTACACTGACTAAAATACTGAACAAATATCAAACAGATGAGATCGTATTAGTGTGGAGGACTGGTTCAAGCTGGCTCAATTTTGAAATTGCCAAAAACAATCAAATCACCAACAGCAATCAAAACCTGAGCAGGAGAAATGATCAAAGAAAATGATTCATGCTGGAGTGGTTAAGCCTCAGCTCTAGGAAATATCTGGTAACACAAAATAGAGTTTGTGATGCATAAGATGGCGGTTTCAAAGAGAGTAATGGGCTACTGCATAACATGTAAAGTTAACAGGAAAGCCGTGTATTAACTATGTTCACAGTCTATCAAAAGTACAGTACATTCAGAAACACAGAGATGCCAGAGTCGTGTGAAGACTGACCTCAAAAACTCTTTACTTCTAGACACTAATGTCTCAGAAACTTGATAAAAAGCAGAGAAGTACTATGGGTAAATACTCTTATGTAAACTGCTTAAACTATGAATCTTGCAAAACACAAGTATCGTCTTGAGAGGACATTTTTGTGCATCCCACACACCCTGTAACAAAGCCAAAAAACACAGCTGCCTGCACAGCTTTCTTTTTCAGTTTGTTAGAGTTTGAAAAAAACAGAAATGCAATTAGGGGGATGCAGACTGCCAGGACTATTTCACACTTTTTAAGAAACCCCAAAGGAATTTCACAAATATAAATCTATGCACAACGAGGACGCAAAGGAACACCGTCCACAAGAAATGAGACAACTACACTGATTTTAACAAGCCCTAACAATGCAAAGAGAGTGTGTGGGTGTTCCTTGGCAAAACAAAGGCTCAAAATCTGGACTTCAAGATTAGTCCACTTCACTGACAATGGTGCTGAGGTGCAGGGGGCCAAAAATAATATAATATCCTGTTTTCAATACAGGGCTTCAAAATGACATTCATATGAGTTACCCTGTCAAGCATCTCTCGAGTGTGTAAGGCGGAAATGCAGAAGCGGGCGCGGGACTCGATGATGGGCGTCGCAGGAAATCCAACCCCCACCACGCCAATGTTTCGCCGCAGCATCTCCCTCCCAAATGCTCTGTGGAACAAAACAGGATCCTGGGTAAGTCTTGTGTAATTTCGCTACTCATATTTAGCAAAGTAACCTCCACTAATAGTCCAATAAGGTTCATTTGTTGTTCCGATAATTTATGTTATTAGATTCTTTTTTCAGACCAAGAGTTTGTTTTCATACCTGACAGTTTCGGTTATCCTCAGGTCTTCGTCAGAGTGGCACCATATACAATGTAAAAACTTAAAACAACTTTTCTGGTGGAGTGTCCGCTACCTATTTGTCTCTATGGAGATGTTATTGCTTTGCCTAGAATGTCCCATGGTATGACTTTAAATATATACATCTAGCATTTATTCATTACGGGTGTTTCTATTGCTCAAAAACAAAATAATTCCTTCTGTGAATGGGATGACTCTCCACAGGTCTGAATCATAACGTGGCTTGTCTACCTCATGATAAATGAACTAATCTATACTGTGGAACATTCTAGACAAGGCAATAACATTTCCATGGGTACAAGGAGGTTTTATATTTTTGTAAACAGTGAATCTGGACTGTCTTCAATACTGTGTGGATCTAGTAAAAATAATATCTAGTAACAATGTTTCTGAGGCACCTACAGACCTACTTCTTAGGTTTGTGATTTGTTTTTTCAACTCAGGATTTAAAATTAGAAGTTGAGGTGCACACTCAACTCAAATATGATCTCCTCAGTTTTTTCAAGACTAGGTGGTGTTGCTAGGAATGTTTTACACATAATTAGCCCCTACAGGGATGGCAGTTTTTTCTTTGAAGAAGACATTGCCAAAGGTGAGCCAACTCATTTTCTTGCACAACCTATAGTATGCTTTGAGTTTCAAGTCTTTTCAGGTAGAGTGTATTAATCGGTCGATTTTTATTATTTGACAAATCCTGTTATTTAAATTAAAGGATAAATGGGACAACAGAAAGCTTGTGAGTGAGTGAGCATTTTAGTATAAAAACGATAAACTCATAATTCACAAGTTGAATCTCTTTTTATAAATATATATATATCCTATCCTATCCTATATCCTAGTTCTTTTTTTAAGCATAAATAACTTTTTATTCCATAAAGTCCTGTGCTGTTGTGTCTTGCGAGTTCAGTTGGGGTTAGGTAATAATTGTTAGGTAATCATTTTCAGAGCTTTTGCCACGCCCCCCTTTTGAGTTGAATTTACAAAACATGTCTATCGTTGACCAAGAATTTCTTTAGACGAGTACAGCCCTACTTTCAAATCTATATTCCAAATGACTGTATATAGTTTTGCAAATGATCTACCTAAAAAAAAACAACTTAAAATTACCAAAGCTGGTTATGGTTTGATCTTATTAAATTGAGCACTGAAAGTATATTATCAGTTTAGAGAAACGAAAAAAACATAATTTAACTTTTGAGAAGCATCAAGTCATCTGAAATTTCAGAGCTCCAAGCCAAGTCCAGCTTTATCAAGTCAAAAGATGCAACTATTTGTCTCACTGCAGTCAGAAGCACGTTCGATAAAGTAACAAGTAAATAAATAATAATGTGAAAGTAAATTGTGAAATACCATGTAAGCGTTTAGAGTAGCATAGTGGAATAGGGCTGAATGATTTGGGGAAAAAAAAACAACAGAATTTTCCTCAGTATTGCTATTCACTTTCTTATAATCCTGTCGTTATTATTACTATATCGACTTATCGTTCAAACCTAAAACAATATACTTTGAGGCTCAGTATTAATCGTGGCTACTTTTTCTTTGCAGCAGCAAGAGATTTTTGCCATTTTCATGTACTAAGGTAAGATTTGAGCCATGGAGAGTAGAATAATGATCATTGAGGTTTAAATATGAACTTCTAATCTAATCTAAACTGCACTGAACTACATGGCAGCTAGTTGTTGATCAGTCTGCACAACACTTTGACGTACCCGATCTTCGCAACCATGTAGAGCATCAGTGGAACTACTGGCGAGTCATTGTTGCCATAAATAATGAAGCCCATCTCATGTAGACGCTTTCGGAAATAGGCGGTGTTCTCTGCCAACTGCCTTATACGATCACAACCTGGGGAAGGTAGACAGAAATTTACGACCAAATCGCAAAGGCTAGAATTCACCAGTATGAATGTTGTGACTGCACATTTATGCACAATAAAAATACGTACTTATTTTTATTTTATTAACAAAATAGATGATAAAAATACAAGCAGCTAAAATTAAATTCTGTTCACATCTGAGAATGGAAGAGCCATGGGGAGATCAAGGCTTTCACTGTGAGTTGTGTTTGTGCAGCTCTCACAAGAGAACTCTGAGAAGAGGCAAACATGAATCTGTGAACTCCTTTGAGCGATGTGCAAATACATAGTTTTGTTTTCTATCAGGAAGATGTCTAAACAATGATAAGCATTTTAAACAAGGATTGCAAATGAGATGAGAAGAGTTATGTAACTTTCTGTCAGATATCTTTAGTTAGCACTGACATCTGGTGGTCAAAGTGAAAGTTACATCAGCTGTATTCACAAACTTAGGTGCAAGCATAATTTACAGTACACAATAGCATTAACAATAATAACAATAAAAACACATTCATTTAAAACAATTAAATTAATTAAATGCATATAGATATAAACAGAGAACAGACCTATAGTTGAGCCGTCCTCTCCCATAATGCACTTCATAGAAGTGATGATCTGCTCCACCACAGGAGGAGACATAGAGGCGGCGTAGACTGCACTGTGGGAGTGGGAGCGAAGGTAATCGATCATCTCCTACAATCACAATTAGGAACCAAATCAGAATACTTTTCTCACAAAAATACTGTTTGTATTCTGTGTGCTTGCTTCAGCTGACTGCATTTGTTGAGTGTTTGATCCCTCTCCCAGTTTTACAGTTTTCTTAGTGCACAGTAAGACAGTAGTCCAAAAGAGGCTGGCTTCTGACCTCACTTTAAATGCTTAGATGTCTATTTTTTAATGATATATGTCTAACACTGGTTTGAGGGAACAATTATTGTTATTTCATGTCTGACATGTTGTTGAACAATAAAGAATTCTGATTTCATCTACTCTAGTGACCCCTGAGTCTATGATGGGTGTCAGTCTGGATGCTTGAATGAATACTTGATGTAAAACTCTTTGGGTGCCCATGGAGCTCAGAGTAACACCCTCCTAAACAGCTCTCTACTAATCTGATGTAGGGTTAATCTGAAAGCACTGACGCCTGCAGTGCATGATTCCCTAGAACTGTGATGCATCTATTAAAAAACCTCAAAGCACTTGTTTCTTACTTTTTTTCCTGCGATGTATCCCCCAGCGGCCCCAAAGCTCTTAGTGAAAGTGCCCATCAGCACGTCCACATCCGCAGGGTCCAAGCCGAAGTAGTCGACCACGCCCCTCCCCCTGGGCCCCAGGGCCCCGATACTGTGCGCCTCGTCCAGATACAGATAGGCCTTGTAGCGCTTCTTCAGGGCAATCACCTCGGGCAGGCGCACTATACTGCCCTCCATGCTGCAGGCGGAGAACAGCTGTTAAGGGTTTGTCAGCACATGTTCTGGAGAGCTCTAGGACAGGAAGTCAAGATGTAATTTGAGAAGGCTGTGTTTAAAGGCAAACCCTGCTCTAAATCAGCTGTGTCAAACAAATCTGTACTTCCAGAAAAGGAGATAGAGTGAAAGAAGAGGAACCTAAACAGGAGACAGCTCTGGAAGGTTTTCTGTGGCTGTCTAATGTTATCATGAAGTGCTTTCAGTTTATGATTGTTATTGATTTTCAGCAAATAAATCTACTTCAAGATCTTTGCCAAAGCATTGATCTTATCACACTATAACAAACTTAATACTGCTATAAAACCCTTACACAGAGCGAGCTCGCCTCTTCACAAAGCAAACCCTTAACTTGGGAGATGTTCTAGCCTCCCGCTGAACATTCCACTGAAATGGGAAAACACTGATCCATGTCCATTGGGAATGTTTCAAGGGTTGGGTTTAACTTTCTGTCTCCACGGGGAGGTGCAGGTTGTTTCCACCAATAATCTTACACGGTGCTGCTTTAATTCTGACCCCTTGTGGCTGGAGTTACAATCTCAAGACAGAATTTACAGACCTATTGGGATGTTTACTTCAAAATCAACTACTTGTTCAATTAACTTTAATAGTTAACAACCAACAGCAGCTCCCCCTCAGTCATGTTTACAAGAACAACAACCTCTGAGAGCAACATCTGTAGAACAGACAGCAGCTGCTGGAGCCAGTCAGTTTAATGGCTGTGTAGGAAGGATACAGGGAGGACTAGGGCGGTGTATACAGGTCTTTTAAAGATTAAAAAAAGATGAAAAAGATGGAAAAAAGGGTATATTTTCTACATCAAACACATACACACTTGCCAGCAAAGAAAGAACTCAATATGCTTGTAACTTGGAAAACCGCTGGATTATTGTTTACATTCATTCAGTGCAAACATGTGTTTAAATTATTTTCTCAAAAGTACATAGAATACAGAAAAGAGTCAGTAGAATGCATTCACGCGTGTTCTGTTCTGTCTGAGCCCAGGTTAGGTCTGATGTAGACATGATTTATTTGTATTCCAAGTTAGATTCAGGTCTAGTATCTGTTTAAGTATCGATCGACTGAAGGTGGCTTACAATGACACTTTACGGGTGCTTTTGAGGAGGCCACGATGGACGAGTGCGACAGAGAGGTTTGTTACTGCACAAGTAAACACTTTGCAAGCTGCACTAAGAATTTTAATGTACAGTTTTATTTGCAGGCTGAACAAATCGGACAATGAAATAATAATGTCACTCACAAATATGAGATTCAGTGCAATAAGATATCAGTCCAATATGTGAGTATAATATATATATATATATATAATATATATATATATATATATATATATATATATATATATATATATATATATATATATATATATATAATATAATATATATATATAATATATGGAGACACTGGTATGGCTGTCTTGGTGTTTTGTAATGTCACTGTTCTTCTCTGTTTTAAAAATTGACTGTGAGTCTGGAATAAAGATGATGATGATGATGATGATGATGATGATGATGATGACACCTGCTCTGACGAATTTCAATACTAGTTTTAGTATTGGTTAGTATTTGATTTTCAATATGTTTGACAGCCCCAACTGATATTATGTTAATGTCTGATATTATGTCTGATATTATGTTCTTGTGTAGCTGTACCTGTAAATGCCCTCCACCACTATAAGGATCTTCTTCCATGGTCTGTGCGTTCTGGGCTGACCGTGGACTATAGCTTCCCTGAGCAGTTTCTCCAGACTCTGCATATCTGACAAAAGACACAGATAAACAGTTATTCTTACATTTCTGAGCAGTGCGTCGCTGGTAAAATATATGTGTGTGTCATAATAGATGGGCTTTGACTCACTGTTGTGTTTGAAGACCCGGATAACAGAGCGGGACAGTCTGGCTCCTAACACCAGAGAGGTATGGTTCAGCTCATCACTCAGGATCAGACAGCCCTGTGAGATCCAAACTCACAAATTAGCATGGTAGAGATGTCAAAATCCCCCATTCCAGCTTCGTATATTGTCGTTGTGTCTTTGTCAAATGTCAGATCATTGTATAAGAAAAAATATCAGGTCAGCGTATCATGATTTTAAAACGAAATGATATAAACAGAATCAGTGACTTCTGTAAAAATGAGACAGGACTATCTAAAGCACTCAAACCTCAAATCCATGAACAAACTACTCAAAATGCATGAACACAACTTTGAGTGAGTTAATAAGTGAGTTATAAAACGGTTAAAAGCTCATGAAAACGTACCTAATATTTCTCATTTAAAGCTTCCACATGTACCATACATACCCTAATATAATGTAGTAAATAGGACAACAACACAGAGAGTGGTAGTGACAGGAAGCGACACAGTCTTGTTTAACTATTCACTCAGGAAATATGCAAAGTTTTGTGTCGACTGTGGTTAGAGCAGTGAACACTCTTGGGCTGCTTTTAAAAGTGCTGGTTATGTATTCAGGACTTCAGACCCCATAAAAGTTAAAATGTTATATGGAAAGGGTAGGAAAGGATAATGTTTTTGAAATATAAGTGATTTGAAATAAGTAATTTAATGATTTTGACCTTGCCAGTCAGGGCCGGTATATTCATAGAGTTGGTGGCAAACCCCATCCCAAAAGTCATGGCAGACTCCACCCCAAGAAACCGAGCGACCAGCTTCTCCAGCTCCTCATGTCGGTCCAGGTTACCTTTAACATAGGGACAACAGGGTCAGTCATCAAAACACTAAACACATTCCATGCAGAAGAATTTTTGAACTTCATAATATTAGAATCGTATCACTACAATGGAAGAGTTATAGCATCCTAATTGTTTACATCTATGTGTACTCACTTGTTTAGCATGTGTTTAGTATAGTAAGAAGTATGGGTATTAGGTTTTCCTGTCTCATTAGTACTGGTTTGAAAGAGATGAATCTAATCAAACAGCTCTAAATAAGCAATAATAACAACCAAAACAATGCAAAATGGTATTGTTTGACCCTATTAAAATTAAAATATTAAAAGGTATTAAGCATTCAAATTTATTTTACTGACTAGTTTTCTAGGATCATGTCTCTTAGGTTAATGAAGATACACACAATTTTATCACTAGTCAAGGTACAAAATGACACAGAACTGACTCCTGTGAGCTTTTAGTCAGGTCAAAACATTGTTACCACCTCAAAAACATACCTGGAGTTGTTTCTTTTCACATGTTGGAGTAATCCTGCCTGCATCCCCAATGCTCTAAACGCTCTGTCTCACTTTCTGATGTCATCAATTGCTAATTTTAAAGTTTAACAGCTATTTTTATTTGTTAATTGAACTGCTTTACTCCACAATACTTTATAATAACCATACGTTGTTGCCTTTTAAAAATATTTTAGCTTTACCTGTTGAGATTGTTCCAGAAAGTCTAAAATATCTTGTACTGCACTGAGCAATGAAGAAGTTTGAATTAAGCTAAAACTATAGATGTAGCTTTAAAAGTTTGACGGTAAACTATTCAAATGATTCTTGTCAATGTGTATGTAGTTTAAAAACACAGCGGAGCACTTCCTGTATCACCACTCAATGACATCACAAGCTAGAACAGTGTTTTCAGTTTGAGAAAAGAACACTAAATATGCAGAGTTTGTGTGTTTAACATGTGTGAATGAATCTAAACACAACTCCATGTATGTTTTGATGAGGATACAACATTATAGCATACATCAAAAACACTTTAAATAAGCCAGTACATAGGTCTGATTTTTGTAGAGAAGAAATCTATCATCAAAAAATGCCAGGTGATATGTGTCATTTAAGCATGGCTGTATTTGGAAAAGTTTAAAATAGCACTTTCAAACTACTTCTCTTTCTTTTTTAGTTTTTACCACATTAGTTCCCCATGTTTACATTCTCTTCCTTTTCAAAACCCAAACAGGTGTCAAAAATCAGGAAACAATCTGACATCAGATGTAACTGTTAGCATTTGAATAATCTGATAACTCCACAAGTCAAATATGAATCAGGTTTTTGGTGTGCATGTAAACATAGCAAGTGATGACTCAATCAAATAACTGCTCAGTTTACAACCAAGCAATCAGACCTAATTGAATTCTATAGCACTAAAGCTGCACGATTACTAATGTTCGCTATGTGCTTGTACCCATTTCCTGCCTGGTGCTGGCCACTCCCACTCCGTACTTCATGGTGACTTCAGCTGCAGCATTAGCACAGGGACCAGTGTTTTCTGCAAAGCCCAGATAATTGTACGAGCCCAGATTGATCACATCACGCACTACTCGCCCTGTGTACCTGTAATGACAAGAGAGGCGGCCATCACCACAGTGTCAGCGGCTCCTGTTTCAAAAACTCTTGAGTGACACCATCATAAATCACCATGTTTTTATAGAAAATAAGAAGACAACTATACTGAAACACTTTTCAGTAGGTCATACAATGTTTACTAAACCCTTTAATACACTGATGTATATTTTGTGTTAAGAATGATTCTTACTCAAAAGTCCAGTTGTAATCGTGGGATACTCTCTCCATTAGATCCATGGTGGCTCCAGGGACGCTGCATATTGGCCGGTTTAGGATGTCACGCACTCGCGTGTACACGTTCCAAGTGTAAAAGTTTTCAAACTCTTGGTAAAGAGGAACAAAGTCCTGAGGAGAAAGTCAAAAGAAAAAGACTCACACCAATGAGCAATATTTTTTCAAGTAGTTCAGAAATATTCAGGAAATGGGCTTCCGCTTCCCTTGATACTAACCTTTAAGAAACAATCACCTTCATTATCAATATTATGTCACCTGCTAAAAGCTTACATCGTGCCAAAGAAAGTAGTGTACCTTTTGTTCCTCTCTCTCTGCAGTAATGTTACATTTTTCAATCTTCCAGGCGCGCAGGAAGTCACGTAGATGTCCAAAAATGGTCAGGATGGCATAGCCCATGTAAGTGAGTACAGCCACCAACATGGGAGTCTTCTCGAAAGACTCCACAAAGGGCCGGCGATACAGGCTGCCATTTGGTGATTCATTGATCTGTTCAATGAAAGAAAAGAATAGATAATAATGGAATAAAACAATTGACCAAATCTGTAGCACTAATGTCTGAAAATCTAGGTATGAGATGGTATGAGTATGGTTATGGTATGAGTTATTTTGTGTATTCTGTACTAGAACTAATGCTGACATGTAATTGCAACATAACAGGAAGTGTGTCTTCAGCCTTACTTAGACAGCCCCACTTGTCATCACTGGTCTGGGCTCATGGTTCTTTGTGCAGCATGTGACTGGTCATGCCTCCCTCACATACCTCAGAACAGAATAGGCTCGGTCTAAGCACTAATCAGCTGAATGCCACTTATTTGTACTTGTTTATACTAGCTCTATTAGCCTACTAGAGGGCTCTGGGAGGCTTTAGGGTGCATTCATACTTGCACACATCAGAATTTGGGCTAAAGTTGACTACACACACTACTACACCTAAACAAAACCAAGTCTACATCAGGGCTACACTGGAATCAAACCAGGACCAAACCTGGACTAGTGTGAATGTACCGTTATACCGGTCTATAAAAGTAGTTGTGAAACTCACACTGGCATATGAGCGAGTGTGCTCTGAGTAACACTATTTAATGACTGAATTGCAACTCTAACGGGACCTATAACTGGGACAAGACACAAACGGTGCACCCATGGGTGCAAATCTCATTAACCTCTTTGAAAAGCTGTTGCATAGAATGCCCAGCAGATATTTGAGATCAGCAAAAATATTGACACAGAAATGTTAGGAGGGCTCCGTGGGTTAGAGATTAGTCAAGGTAACCACGTGTGGAGCGGATAGCTAATCTATGAAAGAGACGGAGGCAGTGGAGGAGTTTATGACCTGGCTTCGGCACATGATAATCATCTGGCATTTATTATCTCACAGCCTGCCCAGGAGTCGTCGAGGGAAAGCATCCATATGATCTGAACAAACTCATTTCTCACAATACTGTGAGCTTCATGTCACGGATAGGCATGAATGCTGGTACACTTCACTCAGTTGTATGAATTGGTTAGCATTAACGCTACACGGTGATCAGTTGTCATAATCCGTCCCCGGGCCTTACCTCTTCGGACAGCCCGTGGGGCTGCTGTGCGTGTGGCTGCTCATGGAGTCCCTTCACCCAGCCCTCTCTGTCCGGCTTCAGTCCGTTCTTTCCGCGGTGACGCACAGTCCCGTTAATCGGCTTGGCGGCGTGGCTCTCAGTCATAGCTAGCCAACAGTTGTGTGGAGAGTGAGACGATACTAGGAAATATCATGTAGGAGGACGGCGGCTGACAGCGGTGCAAAGCTGTGACAGTATCCGGGTTGGGAGAGCGCTTATCCAGTCAGCGCGGCTGTCCACGCTCAGCAGCAGCGCGCCAATCGCAGCGGAAGAGATTTCATGTTCCCCAATGTTTGAATGTCCACGGACGCGTCTCAGAGCTCCTCTCCTTCTACACACTATGACCAAACTTCACCAAGATATCTATTGTAAAGAGTTTTGCAGATAACGTCCTCCAGTCCACACGATGAAGCCTCCAGACAACTTCTGGTCTCCATAAACGCCTGTGCGCCTGCCCCCTCTGCATCTGACACAGACGGGACACGGACATGCAGTGGGTGTCGCCCGCTCTCAATATTACAAGGCTCCAGACTCACAAACGCATAGCAAACATGCACCAACTTGGGCTGACGCACGGCACAATCTGAGGCCCCCCTGCTAGCATCGGGATCCGCAGCGGATCCGCTTTCAGTCCGCCAAATCCGCCCCACAGTCAGTCCGCTTTGCGGATCCGCCGCGTTTTTGTTCCGTATTCGCTTTATGACTGTTGACTAACCCAAATCCTTTGGCAGCCTGCTGTCACAGAGAGGATATACGGCTATATCATTTTACATACGCACAGTGAACGCGCATATAATACTGCAGTCAGTATTTGTGTTCTATAATGAGCGGATCCGCGGCTAACCCGTTTCAGATCCGCTGCGCGGACGCGCCTTTGACTTTATCGCAATTAGAAGAAAGAAAAAGAATCACCCACCTAATGTCCTAATTGAAAGTAAATAGTTAAACTGTTCACTGTATTAGCCATTATTAAAGTTAATTAACGTTGTGCTCATGCGTGGAGGTTGAACACTGCTGAAGTGCGACACAGCAGGTCCGCGGCTGGTCCGCGTCACATCAGTACAGCGGACGCGCCACTGAAATTCCCGCCGTAGAGTGGAGCAGGTAGACTGGACCCTGACTGGACCACACAGTGATACCTTCAGAAGGAGTTACCGGTATGTAATGTATTTTTTACCCATCAAACTCGCTTTCTAATGAAAGCTTTCAAGCATAATTATTAAAATGTATACAATATTTAATCTTAATTTAACTTTAAATTACAACAAAACCGTCTGTCAGTCAGTGCCGCGATAGCCATAGCCGACCGGCCGGCATCTATAAACTCACTTTGATACGGAATATGTTTCTCTATTCAATATAATTATTATAAACGGTTATAAAAGGTGAATCAAACAGTTTAACGTACCCTTTACATAGCTTTTAAATACTCATTGAGGACTAGTGGCCTGATATAGCAAAAGCTATAGTATAGAAGGCTAGTACCTGTATGCCAGAAACAGACTGTTATAGTCACTATTGATGAACTAAATGAGCCTTGCTCATCAGTTACCTGCCCTATCTCTTTCACTGTGTTTGGTTATCACAATCAGAGCACAACGCACAGCCAGAGGCAAAGTTTACGCAGATCCACCACTCAAAACTAGCCCCAAGAACGCTACAACTATAACTATAGCTATAACTGCAATAAAAGGCTGGTCCAAACACGAACACACGGCGTCAGCGCCGCTCCAACAACGTACACGGCAGTGTAGCAGTTCCCCGTAGCACCCACGAGCTCATTTACTCACTATTAACTGTAAGGCTCCGTCCACAGATTAGCCCAAAACTAACGAAAACAAGCATCCTACCTTCTTTATCGTCTATCCGCTGTCCTGTTGGCTTTGTTTCTAAAGGTGTATTGCTATCCATCCAATATGAACAGACGGCTCCACGAGGTCCGGAGGTTTAGGCGGCTAACCACTAGCTAGTATGAATCAAAGTATGAGCCGCCATAAGAACAGCCAGATACACTCATTCCAGCGTAATGCAAATATACTCTCTTCTTGTCTTCAAGTGAATCTTGGCAGAAGTGTCTTGCTGAAGAGAAGACACAGAATTCTCTGTACATAACACAATGTGCGTATACATGCACATCAATAACCCGGTCATGATCGGGTTTTTTGAGTATCCCGGTTTCTTGATGGTGCATGTATACGCAGTAACCCGGTTTCAGTATCCCGGTTATGGCAGTATCCCGGTTATTAGAAACCGGGTTACTGTAGCTGGGTTATTCCGATAGTAACCGGGTTACTTGTGGCATGTATACGCAGTACCCCGGTTACTGCAACATAAAGTTGAGTGCGCATGCGTCCAAAAGACACTTTCCAGCCTCTCAACACAACAGTAGTGACATAAATAAATTGACCAACATAAATAAAGTGACCAAACGAGTGAAATGACTGTAAAATTAAGAGCTGCGCTAAACCTGCACACGTACAATCTGCACTTGTACGACCTGGACTCGTGTGATTGCTGAAAAGCTAAAACATGAACTATCTCCTATACTCTATACGCACGGAACACACTTACCATCATTAGCGCCTCTTCTGTCACAGAAATAACACACATAATCCACAGAGTCGTGTCATTTAGTCCAAAAACAAAACAAAAACTGATCGCATCAGCGGCGCAAGGAGCGAGTTGTTCTTATCGCCGCTAGCAGTTTATGCTAATTAGCCAAACGGTCTTAAGTTTCGTTTCTGTAAAACGTAAACAAATGTGATCACAGCTGAATTATATGATCAAACGGGCTGATGTAGCTCTATAGTGTTTATGGTTTATAAAAGTAAAGTTGAGTTTATTTATGCAGAAGATTTTAATGAAGAATCTGCACAGTGGATTGTGGGAGATCTCGTAGCTCCTTAGCTTCTTATGCTAAAAGGGCTCTCGGTTTGTATTTTTCCTGGTTTATGAAATTGATTTAAGTTAATTTTTGCGCCTGCGCATTTGTAAGATTATGTCAAGAAACCGGGATACTCCATTTGATCATGTATACGCGAATATGAGTATCCCGGTTTCTCAGTGCGCATGTATACGCAGTAACCCGAATACTGACATAACCGGAATATGGCTAATAACCGGGTTACTGATGTGCATGTATACGCACTCAGTCATAATAAAACAAAAATGCCGTTAGTGGCCAAATGCAAGTACAGCGACTAGCCGGGACATAGCCAACAGCACGCTGAATCATGATAGGGCAGATGTTTGATTGACGTTTATAAAGACCAATCCTCGATTTGACTGCGTCACTTGCGCCTCAAGGATGTTCGTTATGAGCGCCGGTTTTGACATAATTTTTTCTCAAAATCAGGCTCTCCCACCTATGGGTGCCCAAAATTGACTTAATTAGAAATAAATAAATAATAGAACAAATGTTGAACTTTTCAACAATCATCATTTGTTCTATTATTTATTTATTTCTAATTAAGTCATAATTAACATGTTAAAAATGTGTATATGCATATACACTTTCAATTTTAAACAAATTTAAAACTAAATAAACAAAAATAATGTAGGTCAAGGGAGAGGCCAGATGTAATAATAATAATAATAATAATAATAAAAATATATATATATATATATATATATATATATATACACACACACACACACACACATATAATATATTATATATATATATATATATATATATATATATATATATATATATATATATATATATATATACAATTATTATTATTATTATTATTATTAAGTTTGACACTGTTTGTCTCCCTGATGAAGATAGGATGAAACGCATAGGGACACTGGTCTATTTAAACATAGGATTTTAAGGCATTTTAAACATCTTATACAATGCCTTGGTTTTCTGTAAATTTGTAAATTATAGAGGATTATTATCTGAAAAACCCTAATATAATATTTCATAAAATGTAATGACTATCCTAACTGCCTGTCCTAAACTATTTTCAGGCAAAATTAATAGAAAGTCAGTACCCGTTTCTGGCTCGGCTATAAGGCGGAGGACCCAAATAGATGTAGCAAGGCGACTGCAGGAAATTGCTGAGGAACACCAGAATAGAGAAGAGACAACAGTGGAAGAAGACATGGAGACAGGGCAGATGACAGACATGGAGACAGGGCAGATGACAAACATGGAGACAGGGCAGATGACAAACATGGAGACAGGGCAGATGACAGACATGGAGACAGGGCAGATGACAAACATGGAGACAGGGCAGATGACAAACATGGAGACAGGGCAGATGACAAACATGGACATGGGGGGGACTGCAAACATTAGAGAGACTAGTTTGTCAGATTTAACTTCAAACATGAGTGGTGATGATAATGATGATGATGATGATAATGATGATTGTGAAATGAGAATAGATGGTGCAGGTTTTCACTTTGATTATATTCAAGATGATTCGGAATCAGATGGTGAGGACAGTTCTTTGTTTGATAATTTCTCAAAATGGGCAACACAATTCAGCATACCCCTTGTTGCACTGACAGCACTACTGGGCATTCTGAGACTCCACCATCCTGACCTGCCTAGAGATGCTCGGACCCTTCTTAAAACCAAAACAAAATATAATGTCATAGAAAAGGCTGGTGGACAATACCACTATTTTGGTATTTTAAATTCCCTCAAAAAAACATTGTCCAAGTGCATTGACTCACTGGCAAATAACTTCACTCTAAAACTACACATAAACATTGATGGCCTTCCCCTTTTCAAAAGCTCAACTTTGCAACTTTGGCCCATTCTTGCTCTATTGATTACTGTCCCAATGAAAGAGCCTGCTGTTGTTGCCTTGTTTTGTGGTCCCAGAAAACCTAATTCCGCACACAAATTTCTTGCAGATTTTGTATTTGAGTTAAAAACCCTAGAAAAAGGATTTGAATTTGGTGGCAAGACATTAAAACTTAAATTGGATGCTGTTATATGTGACACCCCTGCAAGGTGCTTTGTCAAAAATGTGAAGGGTCACAATGCCTATCATGGCTGTGACAAATGTGTAGTGCCTGGACTATATGTAAATAGACAAATGACTTTTGACACTACGGTTTAAGGACAGACATTTCGTTTGAGAACATGGTTGATGAGATTCATCACCATGAAGGGCCACATCCATTTCAGGGCTGCCAAATTGGAATGGTTTCTGGATTTCCCCTAGATTATATGCATTTGGTTTGTTTGGGAGTTATGAGGAGACTGCTGAACATCTGGATGCGAGGTCCTTTAAATTTTCGCATCCCTGCCAATATTGTTGAAAAAATGTCCCAGAAATTAGTTGAAATGCGTCCCTTTGTCCCTGTTGAATTTGCCAGAAAACCTCGCTCTCTTCGGGAACTAGACAGATGGAAGGCAACAGAACTTTAAAAATTCCTCCTGTACACAGGCCCCGTGATGCTTTCCCCATTTTTGGACAAAGCAATGTATGAAAATTTCATGCTTCTTTTTTGTAGCATTGCTATATTAGTGAATCCCAAATTAACATGCCATGCAAATTACGCCCATACACTTTTAAAATGGTTTGTTAACTTCTTTGGCCGCATATATGGTAATGACCTAATTGTGTACAACATCCATGCTTTGGTCCATTTGCCATGTGATGTTCAAAAACATGGTACTCTCGATTAATTTTCTTCGTTCCCATATGAGAGCTACTTATACAGACTAAAAAAAATGGTAAGAAAGCCACAGTTCCCAATAGCACAAATAATTCAGCGATTATCAGAGACAGAAATTAGAGAGGACAAAAGAGAATGTATCATATTGAAAAAGGAGCATTTTGTTGGCCCTCTTGCTAACTTATCCACTGTTGAGAGGCAGTTCAGTGAAATATCATGTGAGAAGTGGACAGTGAGAGTTGCTACAGGTGACAATGTATGTGTGATTGGGAACAGCATCTGTGAGATCTGTAATATTGTGCAGTGTGGTCATGGTGTGTTTGTGGTATACAAAGAATATACAGAAAAATCATTGTTTTTTTCCTATCCGTTTAAATCTGACTTTTTAGAAATATTTCAAGTATCTAACCTATCTAAATCTTTTAAGTCTGCTAGAGTTCAGGACATCACCCATAAAATTGTGCTTTTACCATACAGGGGTCATTTTGTGGCTATGCCTCTGTTGCACACATTTTGATTTTATTTCCATGTCCTGGGTATTGACATTAAACTGCATCCGGCAGGGTTGGGAGACTGTGTGTGGAGTTAGCTTCCCCCAGCTAACACCTACAAAATGCACACAACGTCGCTAGAACCTACTGACCTACTGGCGAGTGGTCGGCGCCATAAAACCGGCTGGGTTTGTTTTGTTTTGTTGACTTTTTGCTTATACTTGTGTTGGGAACTTTGTTAAAACTTACTCTTACTTTAACTTTTTTATATTCCAATCTGTAAATAGTGTAAGTAAGTAATTACTAATTTTAAATATACATATATGATTCAATTGTAACTGTGTTTTTGCTTTTTCTTTCAGTGTTTGACAATGTACCATCTAATTGAATTCACAATTAATAAGACGGTGGCAGTTGCCCCAGCAAACTGGGTCAACGATGGAGTGTGCTTGTGGCCACCATACTCAAAAGATGGGCGGGTCACAAGGGCAGCAAAAACACAGGAAGTGCCTGGAGAGGACTGGGATGAGTTTGATGTGCGCATAATAAAAACATGCGGTAAGCCCTTGAATTACTATGGTACATGGCAAGTGGCCTCTTGTTGGTTTTCAGCCAGTGTCCTGGGGAACACTAGGGTGCCTTGAGGTATTCCAAGGAGAGCATCACTTAATTGGTAATATTTTAGTAGGTGGTGTGCCATGAATTCTTTTGCCTGGGAAAGCAAAGACTCATCTCACGCACTCACACACATACACATGCACACCCACATACACTCACACACAAACACACCCACATACATGCACACACACACACACACACAAAGACAAACACAAACACACATACCTCAGGATCCAGCCTCCTGCTGGTTCTCAGTCAGGACTAAACATGACTTTATTGACTGTGAATTTAAATATTAAATGTTAAATGATTTTGAGTTAACAGGGAGCCACAATATAATTTAAATTGTTTCATCCTTACAATACAACTTGCATAATAGTTTTGCACTTTTTTTTTTTTTTAGCACACTACCTTGAAGCCAGGCAAGCCCTCAACAAGGCTTTGACTTGTGCCACCTCAGACCTCCAATCAGAAGATGAAATGGTGCCACCAAAAAGAAAGAGAAAACCAATGTAAGTCAGCCATCAGACCTAATGCTGCAACATTTAATTGTAGATGAAAACATGTTGTTGTTGTTGTTGTTGTTGCTTTCTTTTGAACATTTTAAGGTTCTAGCATAAGAGTGCATGGAGCATGGAATGATTAAGCAATAAAGCAAAGTAGCCCTGTGTATAGTTCTGCAATATTTCAGAACCAGAGCGGGTTAATGCGATTATTTTAAGACCAAACTGACAAGGCTCAGAGCAGCAGTTTAAATAATGTATATTCATTTTCACAGACATTATTTTGGAGATACTGATGAGGACTCTGACTTAGAAATTCCTCACAGAAGGAAGAAGCAAATACCTCCACCACCAGTGCCACCGCCACCAGTACCACCTCCATCGTCAGCACCTGTACCAGAACCAGCTACAATAGAAGAGGACGCTCATCCTGCTCCATCTAACTCCAGGGCAGTTGAACTGGTAGAAGTGACATGCTTGTCTGTTCACGTAAGTCATTTTGAAGGGAAAATCATATACTCTGATTGAATCCTCATTAGTATAAGGTAGATTGTACAGTCTGTAGATTCTACAGTCTAGAATGTTCCTTATAACCCCTAGCCTCACCCCTCTCTCCTTTCACTTTCTTCTTTACTCCTCCAGGTACCACTCAGAAATGTGTTTTGTGGGCGGAGTTTAGGTGTTTTGTCCCATTTTATGGAAAACGTAAAACTTCATGAAAATAGTTTTGTGTAGGTTTGATTTTCTGTCTTCATTTCTCTCTCCCCCCTAATCTTTCTTTAGCCTGTATATTCAATCAACTCTTCTGTGAGTACAGTACAAGTACAGTTATATAGCAAAACATCTACTCGGTTACAAGTACTACTGCAAAACTTGTGCTTGAGTAAAAATATAAAGTATAAAGTACACACATAAAAACTACTAACCTATAAAACCTGAAGCTGATTTAAGTTTCTCCAGTAATGTATGAAAAATAGTTGTTCAACATTACAAAATGGATAACTAAGCAAATTAGACAATAAAAAAGGGATTATGCAGTGTTTTTTATGCCAGCGTCATTTTAATATAGTCCATTTTGTGACAAGTCCAGTTCAGGGTCCAGGGTCGACTTAGGCTTGGTTACATATCTAGAAATATTAGTCCTGGGGGTGTTAGTAATGTGGAAAGATTTCATGCTTGTACCGTAAAAGCAAATTATTTTGGTCCTTAACAGCTCCACTATCTATTAAATTCAGGATTATGTGCTTTAAGATTATGATTCTGTGTCTGACAAAATAAATAAATAAATAAATAAATAAATAAATAACACACGTGCATACACACATACTTTGTTGTTTGGTGGGTTAGATAAACTTTTAGAAAATTTCTTTTTCATTTATTTTACATTTATAATAAACATTGTCATTGAGATTGGTCAAACTAGTAGTGGACCAGAATTAAATTAAGACCAGACAGCTCTAAACCAGAACTAACCCAGAATTAAACCAATCTAAACCAGGGAAAAACCAATGAACATTAAAAAAAACAACAACAACAACAAAAAAAAACAAAAAAACTCATCAGCCATAAAAAGAACTTTAATTCAAAATGTGTCAAGGGTATGAGTAATTTTGTTTTGGGATTAGATATTGCCAATGATTATTATTACAATTTAATGTTGCAGATTGGCAAGCTGGCTACAATTGGTGGGCAAGACCCCAAATGTATAGTGAGGAGCATTCTTGCCCACATCTTGGCAGACAGATGTGCCTGTAAAATCAGCTGGAAGGGGTCGAATGAGAAAATGCCATTCAAAGATTTGGCTCTGAAGACCCTAGTTTTACGTGAGTAGTATTAAATATTATTTGTTTGGGACACAAATCCATTAGCATTGACACTGAATGTATTACTTTCTTCTGTTATTAGAAGCTGCAAAAAAGAACAATCTATGCCGGGGAATCACTGATGTGGAGGTGTTCCAGCACTGCATCAGGTGGTTCAACCTGGCAGCAGATAGGGGTCAGGGCAGGAAACGCCCTTCACCCTCCCCCACCCCTTGAGTTTTATTTTTGGCAGGAGCCAGTAAGTAACTCTTTGTTAATTTACAATTATTAGACAATTTATATGAGGAGAAAAATTCTGTTTGTCGACTGGACAAAAGTTAGTTTGGTTGAAGACGTTTCGCAGATCATCCAAGCTGCTTCTTCAGTTCTGGTCAGAATGCTGGTGACACTTCCTTATATCTGCAGGGAGGCGCTAACTAACTGAAACTAACACACACTTGTTTACAGTTTCTGTTTGTTAGTTCGGCCTATTGACCTGTGCAGGGTGTGGAGTCTAATTAGCAGAACAATTCATGGCCATAATGGAGCTTCCACACCTCTGAACCAGAACTAGCTACACCTGTTGTTCTCTTGTTTGTTTCGAATTAGGTTGGAGGATGGACGTGTAAATAGTAGATAGATGGAGTCTGAGGCCTCCATTTCTGTTTAGAGAAGGATTCTCTTTCTTAACAAAAAATGGCTTCTTTCACTCCCCTCTCAAACCAATTTTTCTCTCTGGCTAAAATCTGTACCTCGCTGTCCTCAAATGAGTGGCCTGTAGCTTTTAAGTGGAGATGTACGGCAGACTGAGGTCCACTGCTGCTCCCTCGTCTGTGTTGGTACATCCTCTTGTGAAGTAGCTGTTTAGTTTCTCCAATGTAGAGTTCACTGCAGTCTTCACTGCACTGAATGGTGTAGACCACATTGCTTTGTTTCTGTTTGCATTCTGACCAGAACTGAAGAAGCAGCTTGGATGAGCTCCGAAACGTGTTCAACCAAAGTAACTTTTGTCCAGTCGACAAACTGAATTTTTCTCCTCATGGATTCTACCTGGATGACTGAGGGATTCTTCACACATAGACAATTTATAGAAAAAAAAAACAACATATAAAAACAGTTTCAATGACAAATCCTCAGATTGTGATCCATCATTATGGAATTTCAGTTTCATAAATAAATAAATAAATAACTAAAATCTGTCATTTGTGGATCACCTGCTATAAATGTTCCCTGAAAATGTTTAATTAATGTTCCCTAAACCAACTCATAGAGTTCTCAGTCATTTGAGCGCTTCAAGCCAGGCAGGCAGAGTGCTCCGTGCAGGGCAACCAGTGCTTCAACAACTGGATAAGATAAAAGCATTCTAAATACAATTTCAACTCCAAACATGCGTTCTCTAACAATGAATCTGGTTGTATAGTTGGCATTGTGCCAAGGACGGCGCAAGTCCTTCTAGCCAGCCGTCAACCCTGGGTTCAGGCGCCAGAGTTATATAGAATGCTTTTATCTTATCCAGTTGTTGAAGGCGCACCACTGTACGTAAAGGTCCTGGTACTGCGCGTGCAGCCGAGCAGCGTGGCTACAAGGGACAGATGCGTAAGAATTTGAAACTTTTATGAACGGAGAGATTACGGGGCGTTACCTGACACTGCAGATGAAGGCGCGCGGTGACACGCACTTGGCTCAAGGCGGAATGATACGGCCAAGCCGAGAAACTACGAATAACTGGACTGTGTGACAATGTGGACATTTTTGTGAATAGACAGGAGCAGTAGACATTCATTACCTGTCGCCAAAGACTAGGGCGCACAAGAATGCGCTGTGAAGCTCAGCGTGTTGCGAGAATACATGAATAAGGGCTAAAGGATTGGAATTATGTCTGGTCATGGAGGACAGAGCGGTTTACACAGGGACCCAGAAATGCGTGGGTCCCTTATAAACTCATAAAAGTTTATAAAAAGGCGGCTGCAGAGCTGCTTCTCCTCGTGCGCGCACTTAAAGATGTGGACTTTTACGCACTTGTTAACCTGGCATCTCCACCGCGCTCTCACCTGCAGGGAGGTCAGGCGTATATATATAGGCGCTCTAATTGCACCAGGGAGCAGCTCCTCCTATCGACAAAACAGCGCCTACCGACCCGGATTCAGCTCTAGAAACGTACCGGGACAGAAAGACAGTCTGTGTACAGAAGAAGGTGTGTCGGAATGAAGGGATGTTGAAAAAAAGGCTTAAGTGGCGCCACTCAGACCAAAGGAAAAAAAAATGTCGGAGTGCAGGGACGTTTGCTAAAAAATGGAAATGCCGCTACTCTGACAATAACACGTCAATATCGGAGTGATGGTAAGCTATGTCTGAGTGACAGCGTGTAACCACAAAACGGTACTTTGACAAAATGAAAGAAACAAATGCCTTTCTTTCTCCATTCCCCATGGCATTAAAAATATGGAACTGAGGCAATAAAAAGCATTACGTTTGGTTTGTTGAAACCGGCCTTAACGCTGAATGGTGTCATTTCAGATGCTGTGGGAAAAGGGAAGGACATTGAAGGAGTCAGCGGGCTCAGCACCTCACCATGCACATGACTCCAAATCTCCCACTCTCCACACTGTCTACGTACAACCACCCATTTTATACTGGTGATAAACTCAAATTATATTCTGATCAGAATATAATATAATAATAATAATATAATGCACTCGAGTGTATTATTTTATTTGTTATTTATTATTGTTTTATTTGTTGTTGTTGGTTGCGCAAACTGTTTTGCATTGGTTATACTGGAATTTTAAGGGTATGTCATACAGACGTATGTTCTTAGATTGTTCATTATTTATATATTTATAAATGTATTTATATTTAAACAAACATTGTTTATATTTATAAGCTGCTTCTTTTTTTTTCTGAGATTTAATATTAGGATATCACTTCTATTGCTGAGAGTGTTTTTAAATGTAACCACACAAGTTATGCTACTTGCTGTAAAAGGTGTTTTATGTACAGTAACTGCAATGCAAATGCTGCTTGTGTATAGTTAGGTCAGTAATAAATACATCAGTATTAAATCTGAAGCATATTTAGGCTCCTAACGACACAATAAACAGATCCGCAGCGGATCAGCCGCGCCTCCGCCGCGGATCCGGTCTTATTTTGACGGATCCGCGGCGGAGGCGCGGCTGACCCGCTGCGTATCCGCGTAGCGAATCTCTGGGCGGATCCGCCGCGGATACTTTTTGCTATGTGGGACCCTGCTTACACATGTTTTTTTGTTTGTTTGTTTTTTCTTCTTCTTCTTCTTTTCATTTTTGCCATTACAGCTGTCTCATTTGAATTCTTTTTTGTGGGCTGTGATAGCTGTTACTGCTCACTGAAATAGCCTCGTGGGCAGAGGGGTTCTTGCCGTTTTTATGTGATACAGAATGTGCACTAGTTGGCAGCACAGAGCCACAGTTGTCAATACTTAGAAAGTGCTGGGATTACATTTCATGCTCAGCTCTTCAGCTCAGGAATGATGAGCAGTGTGATACTGGTGCAAGTAGCTCCCACTGTAGATCTCTCTCTCTCTCTCTCTCTCTCTCTCTCTCTCTCTCTCTCTCTCTCTCTCTCTCTTCTGTGGGAGATTGGAGATTTTTATATATTTTTTTGGCTTGGAGGACGTTTTGTGTAGACTCAACACAGATGTACTGGGGGAGGGGATATTGCGTGATGGGCAAATGTACCCTACTAGAAAAGTACAACAAAAATGACATTGTGTGAAGAGTTGCATAGAGTAGCCTGTAGGCATATAAATAAAATGTAAGTCTACAGTAAAACAAACATTTTCCAACGTTATTCTGCATGGTAATTCATTCCGACAGCCTCAGACTTTCAGTGAGTAACAGTGGAGTGTGGTGTGGGAAGTTTCCAGGAATTTATGAGGCGAACGTTCCGGCCGTGCTGTCATCGAGCCAAAATAGCTGTAAATGGTCTATATATAGATCGCACTGTAAATGCTGCAGCCTACAAGTCCTCCAGAATCATATGTAAAAATGCGTTATTACTGACTATATTGTCCCATTAAAACTTCCAGTTTTTCATAGAATTATTTTCCTCCACCATTCCCTCCCTAATGACGAATTTGTTAGCTACTCCATGTCAAACAATGTTGCTGTCCACCACTAGAGGGCAGTGTTGTATAACTAATGAAACTGTATAAGGAACTTGAATTCATAGTTTGAAAGATGTAAGAAATGTGACTGTTTGATTATCTGTCACTATTAGTTTTATTTTTTATTTTTTTATTTTTTTTACATACATATATTTTAAAAATATTTTCCATTCTTGGTAATGTGGTAATGCAAGTTATTTATTTATTTATTTTTAAACATATGCATTTCATTATCGTTTTTCATTTCATTATAGTGGATTTTTCAAACAGCTAAAATGTTTTGGTACTTGAGTGAATAGTAGTCTATTGCAAGCTATGCAAAAATTATGTCCTATTTGTTTATGAAAATAAGTCTTAAACATTTGCAAGTCAAAGACATGATTCCAGATGTTTCGCTGATTGTGCAGCCCAATTATAAAGATAGGCCATCTTATTTTATCTTAAGCAATGCTGTGTGCAAATGGGGGTATGTAACCAATTTGGCACGAGCTCAAAGGTGCCAACTAGTGTTCAAACAAGGAAGTACTAATTTTATTCTCTAAAATGAGACATACTGATAATAGTTATAAGGGGCTTAAAACTACACCAAAAACAGTCTTCATTGTTTTTATATTTAGTCAGGCCATTTTAAGCTTGTGAGTAGAAGTTATAGTTTCACTGAATTGAAAACAGTACATTTCATAAAGAATATTGGGAGGCTTTATTGGTCAATAAATAAAATGATCATCCGCTAACCCACAGGCTGGCAGATCGATCCTCGACCTTATCAAGATATACTTATACCATCTTACCTTAGTAGTGTATGTGTATGAATGAAAGAGTCCTTTGATGTAAAAAGCTTTGAGTGCCATCTGAGGTAGAGAAGCAAAATATAAATCTGCATTTACCATTTTACCATTGTAACTGTGAGTGAGTATTGACTTATATTTTACTGCAACATGTACGTGAAGTTATTTTTTTTTATATTTTAGACACACATTTTTAAAAAAAGACTGCCTAGTCTGCATTATATTTCATGCAGGCATCAGCTCTGTCCTTTCCTCGTGTCTCCTTCCGATGCCAGCCCCTCTGAGTGCTCTTAACTCATTAATGAGGGCAGGCCTCTCCATCAATGATACATCACACTGATAACTTTAATCATTTTCAACACTACCATCTCTAAGTGGTATTCAAAGGGCTGCTGTGTGCACCTATCCCACCCCTGGACAGAGCGTGAGGCTGTTTAAGAGAGAAAAGGAGAAGAAAGACAACCTTTAGCACAGCTGTCCTTTTGGTCCTGTTCATCGATATACTCCGCATTAGTAGACTGGTTTGTTCCTGTGGGCTGCTCTTTGTATGTTACTGATGGGTTAGTCTGCCATGTTAGAGCCTCTTTTTGAACTTTGACCTGCTGATGTTATAGTCACTAATTACAGTCAGAGCCAGGTCCCAGTGTGGCCTGTTTGTCCTCTTGCTCTGTTCCCACCGGGACAGCCAGTGTGGATGTTGTACTAATACTAATCAGGCTTTCCCCAGACCAGCCTTTTCCGTGCTGTGTCAGAGTGTGAAGAGAGGAGTCAGGTTCTACTCAGGTGAGAGCCTCTCAGCTTAGCTAGGGTGATAAAGGAGCAGCTCAGGTTTCATTTATTAAAAATGGTGCACCTCAGGGAAGCGTTCATGTAGGTTGTAGGTCATCTATGGTTTCATCACTTCTATTTATTCATTGTGTTGCTTCAACTCAAATCTGTTTGTGTAGAAAGATAAGTTAGACAATTTGAATGGTTGGCAACAAGCTTTGTCACACACATAACACACAGGTATCTGCTGCTGCTTTTCACTCTGGTTGTAAACACATTTGTATTAATGACAGCTAGAATTAGTGACAACTTGCCTGCCCATGTATAGTTATAAACACCAAGAGAGCTGTACATAACTAAAGCATGGATGCACTTCAGTTTCCTATTCTAGTGGGTGGACAAGTCTGCATAGATACAGAGAGGTTTATGTCTGCAAAGCTTTCCTATACTGCTGGAAAAAAATCAGCTCCGGGGCACCCCTGTAACATATTCTGAATCTCAGAGGAAACTTTAATAGATCTACAACAGGCACTCCCAGAGAGATGTGGCTGTCAGACTTTAGTCAAATAAACTTATGGTTGTTCCACGGTAAAGTGGGTAGAAAAGTTTTTTGTTCTTTTTTCTATATGTATTTTATTCATTGAGAAACTATTTGCCACTGAAACTCTTCCAGCCATATGAAGCACAAATCACACAGCGACATTACATGCTACATTACTTTACAAAGGTCAAAACAGAAAATGAAAGATATTTTCTAGTTTTGTGTCCTCACAGGGGCCATTTATGCTAGGGGCGCATGAGCCCTGCAGAAAGTGAGTTTATTTTTAAAGCAAATGTTCCGACAGTGCGTTGGCATCAGGCCCACCTCAGTTCTTATTTCCCTCACAGCCCCTCGAGGGAATGTCAAGGTAGTGCACTTGTCGCTCTTCACTGGGATATGTGTGACGGCAGCTAACTGCACAAGAAGGGAGGATTCTGAAACAGTTCCTCATGCAAGAGCACACACAATAATACTGAAACCAGTCAAAGGTTTTGTTCATCCACATATATTCTTATTAAGAGCCATGCTGCTGCTGGAGCAGCCTGTCAGCTGGAGCAGAGGTTGCTGCAGTGTCTCACAGGGACCATCTCCAGATGTCGAGCTAGACGTGGTCAGGACTATCTTGCAAACTAACATGCAAACTCTGCACATACAGGCCAGGGAGAGTCAAACCAAGTTCAATCTAATGTTTAATTGAAAGCCCAGAGCACAGAAGCTGCAACACCCCAAGGTTTCTGACCAACCAGTAACGTGTGGACAAAGAGGACTGAGACACAACCAATTTATATAGAAAATTTGTAATTTATTACAGAATGTTTCTAAAAGTTTAAAAGTCCAATTAAAATGGGTGAGTAGCTACTTTAAAGTGTTGGTGTGCTCATTTTGGGGACTGGAGGAGGTAGGCAGGAAGTAGGGGGTCTGCAGGTTGAGACCCTAGCCGTGATGGTGCCACGTAGTTAAGGATCCTGATCAAGTTCTCTCTCTAACACATTTTTACATAGTGAAAACAGAGTCACAGAGAGACAGAGCCATTGTAATGTGGTAGGGGAGAAGAGTGATTGATCAGCTGGCCTGCATCACACACACCCAAACCACACCCACACCAACCAAAGAGTAGGAGAATACAAGTTGATACATCCACCAGGTTTCATAGTCTCTGACCAGTCCTGCCAATATTGATCCATGAACAGAACAAGCCTGCCTTGACTGAGAGCCCCAGAAAATACCTTTATTGGCCAAATCCACCATCTTTGTAGTGAGCAGGCTGCAATTCCATAGAAGTACAGAACATTTACACAGTTTGCAAAGGATCCAACCATCAACTTCAGCTGTTGTGACATTACTGGTGAATGCAGCGAACACACTGGTGAATGAATGACCAGAATGAATTTTGTTTTGTTTTGTTTTGTTTGAACCAGAGACATGATAAAAGTAAAGGGTCAAGGTTTCCTTTACTCCACTTCAACTTACCAACTGTTCTATGGGGAAGAAAATAAACATATTCTGAACACTGAAAACAAACCAAAACTGTTAACTGAGTGTAAGTAAACCATTTTCATTTCGTTGATTACTTTGGGGTGCTCATGGGAACTGTATGCCACAGGTATTAGAGACACTGAGCACCTCTATGGGA